CTGTATTTGAGTGTAGACTTTATAGCACAGCTGTAAATGTGGGGCACCCACTCTTATGTAAATAAATCCCTACCCTATGCTCTATTCAAAAAAATAATAACAAATAAAATATTAAAAAAAAATTAAAACTGGGCAGTGTGTAGTGGCACATGACTTTAATCCCAGCACTTGGGAAGTCAGAGGCTGGTGGGTGAATCTCTGTGAGGCCAGCCTGGTCTACATAGGGGGCTACAGGGAGACCCTATCTCCAGAAAAAGAAAAAAAAAGAATGAAAAATTAAAAAACCCTTGGGCATGGTGGTGCACGCCTTTAGTTCCAATCCTCAGGAGGTAGAAGCAGGCACAATCTTTGTGAAGTAGAGGTCTACAAAGCAAGTTCCAGGACAGTCAGGCTACATAGTTAAGACTGTGCCTTAAAAAAACCCAAACTCTTCTGCGCCCCCTCCCATAAAACCAGTGTCTCAACAAGTCAATCTTTTAGCAAGTTTCAGATGTGAACTGTAGCAATTTTCATAATGGTACAGTTAAAATATATGAAAACTCTATTTCTAGAGAAGCTACATATCTGTTAATGATCCCTTATCTAAAATTCTTGCAATTGAATGCATTTCATATTTCAGAGCCTTTTGGATCTTGGAGTTTTGAAAGTAGGGATGCTCAGTGTGCATATGCGTGTGTGTGTGTGTGTGTGTGTGTGTGTGTGTGTTTCTGCGTCTGTGTGATTTGTATGTGATATTCCCTATACCAGCTTGGCTCTAGTGAGGATGCAGTTTTATGAAGAAAGTTGGACTAGATTGGTTGATGGCAAACAAGCCTCCCCTGGATGAGCTGGGATGACCCACACTGTCCTAGATAGGCTTCAGGTTACTTGGGATCATTCTGGAATATGGTCCTGGGTTGAATGAATTCAATGATCTTTCCTCCTCCGATTCTTTCCACTGATAGATGGGATATCCAGCCTACGTAAGCTGCAAAGATTCTGCTGGAAACTGAGGAGCATGACACTTGGGAAAATGACCCTCTGGGGGGGTTTACATGTCATATTCTACACAGCTTTCTCAGCTTCATGGGAGCAAACTTATACATAGCAATAGAAAACAACACTGAATTATCTTATCTGTTATTGACATCTTTATCTAAACTTGCTGTAGAGAAAGCTTAGAGAATTACAGACAGATAAGGAATCTTCTTAACTTTAAAATAAAGGTGTTGACTAACCCTGGTGCTCTATTCCATGTTATTCTAGAGGTGGTGGAGGCAGGGTAGAAAAATAGTGTAAGAATTAAAAGAAAGAAACAACAGAAAACAGAAAGGAATCTCACTATTCACAGGGTTTACCCACAGCTCAGAAAAGAGTTATGAAATATCAAAGGACAGCCATTTGAATTTGGAAGAGCAGGTATGAGTGAAAGATTTGTTACAATGAACCATAGATGGATTGCTTGGTTTTTCTTTTTCTTTCTTTTTTTGCTTATTTATTTATTTGGTTTAGGGTTTTTTGTTTTTTTTGTTTTTGTTCTTTTGAGACAGGGTCTCCCTGTGGCCCCAGCTGGCCTGGAACTCGCTATGTAGACCAGGCTGGTCTCAAACTCACAAATACTTGCCTCCCTCTGCCTTCCAAGTGCTGGGATTAAAGGTGTAAAGGTGTGCACCACCATATGCAATGTCTTCGGAGGCCAGAAGAGGATGTTGGATGCCCTGGAACTAGAGTTTCAGAAGGTTATTGGCCTCCATGTGGATGCTGGGAACTGAACCTGGGCCCTCTGAAAGAATAGCCATTGCTTATAACCACTAAGCCATCTCTCTCTAGCTCCTTCTTTTTTGGCTTTTTTTTTTTTCAAAAATTTTTATTTTATGTGTATGAGTGTTACGCCTGTATGTATGTAAGTGCACCCATGTCGTGCAATGCCCACGGAGGACAGAAGAGGTTATCGGATCCCCTGGAACTGGAGTCACAGACAGTTGTTAACTGCCATGTCGGTGCTGGGAATTGAACCCACATCTTCCGCAAGAACAGTTGGTGTTCTTAACTGCTGAGCCATCTCCAGCCCCTTTTTTTGGCTTTTTGAGGCAGGGTCTCATGTAGCCTAGGCTGGCCTTAAACTCCTGATCTTCCTGCCTCCACATCCCAAGTATTGGGATTTCTAGGTATGTGCCACTATGCCCAGTTTAAGACAGTTTGATAATAAAGCTAAAGAAATAAACCCATAAAACAGTAGAGATCAAAGGAACAAATCCTGCGTATATGAAAATGTGATATTTGACATAGGACTATTAAACGGGTACCAGGATGGTAACTGGTTATCTATGTGAACAAAACTAAAAAGTGGGCTTTCACTTAAAACATATGCAAAAATCAATTCCTGAAAAAAATAAGGGGTGAATTTGAGAAGCAAAAGTTGAAAACTTTCAGTAGATATAAAAGTGCATTTATGAGTTAAATATGGAGATTTCCCAAGGAAAATCATATACAAAAATACTCATTTTTCTATAAGGCATTCACCTCCATTAAAACAACAGAAAATTGCCAAGCGTGGTGGCAATTTGTGTCTTTATTTTCAGCACTGGGTATTGAATTGTCTTAAAACAAAACAATCCCCCCAAAACAAAACCCTTCAAAACCTTTTGTATACTCAATGACACCAAGAGAATGTAGAAAAATAGCTAATAGAAGACATTTATAAGTACGTACTCAACAGAGAAGTTGTCTTTAGAATAAATAGGCAACTTGTTCAAATAAAGACCATAAACAGCCCAACACAACAGGCAGTTCACCAAAGGGCAGGCTCGATGGGGAAGGAGACAGGATGCTCAGCTGACAACCTACAGAGACAACAACTCACACCACAGACTAGCAAAAGCCGAAAAATGTATCACAACAGCAAGTACCTCAGAAGGATGTACATACTGTATGCACAAGGTGCATACTAACAGCAGGGAGCACGAGGGCGTGAAAGGCTTTGACACTGCATATGAAGGAAACAGTGCATCCTAACTGCTGTAGGTGTGAAGCTGCTTTAAAAAGTTCAGGACCAGAAAGTAATGCTTCTATTCTTTCAGTGAGAAAGACAGAATGATGTATTAACAAGCTGAGCGTGGTGGTGCACACCCTTAATCCCAGCACTCAGGAGGCAGAGGCAGGTGGATCTCTCTGAGTTCAAGGCCATCCTGGTCTACATAGGGAGTTCCAGGACAGCTGGAGCTACAAGGAGACCCTGTCTCGGAAAAAAAAAAAAAAAAAAAAAAAAAAAGAAAGAAAGAAAGAATTATGTGTTAACATGGTAAATAAATGCATCAGATGGTGAGCAGCAGGACTGTGGACACCTCTGGGAAGGGCTAGTACAATGGAATTTTGTAGTGTTTCATTTCTTTGCCTGGGATAATTACAGTGGCAGTTTGTCATGTTATTTGTTTCCTTGCGATGTTGGGGATAGGGGACAGAGCCTTGTACATGCTAGGTAAACACACTACCACTGAGGTGCGACCTTACGCCTCTGTCAATTAATTTTGAGACAGGGTCTCACTTAACCTAGGCTGGCCTAGAACTTGCTATGTAGCCAAGGATGACTTTGAACTTCTTTAAAAAAAGATTTTTTTGCTTTATGTGTATGGGTGTTTTGCCTACATGGATATAAGTGTACCATGAGCATGCAATGCCTATGGAGGCCAGAAAAGGGCATCAGATCCCCTGGAACTGGAGTTATAAATGTTCCCACCACCATGTGGGGCTGGGAACGTAACTGCAAGAGCAGTCAGTGCTCTTAACTACTGAGCCATCTCTCCAGTCCTGACTTTGAGCTCCTCCTACTTCTACCTCCCAAGTGCTGTATCTAATTACAAGAATGTCAAGAAGGTACTATCATGCCCAGCGTTTGTTATTTATTACACCCTTAAGTTCATTAGAAACTTTTTACAATAAAGGAAAGACTATACAGAAAGGGGGGCACCAGATTAAGATGACTCATTTCTTCCCTTTTTTTTTCAATTCAATTCCTAAAGTCACTAAAGGAAGAAAAAAAAATGTAAAAGGCCATTCAAATAGGCTCTCAAAATCTCTTAAACACCAAATCTGCAGACAAGAGACACAGGTAGTTCCTTCCCAGGAGTTTACTGGTCCTAATTCCTATCTGCAGCTCTGCCTTGTCTTCTGCAAAGATCTTCAGATATTCAGAAAGTTTGCTAGTTAGAACGTATTTTGGAAGGTTTTTATAAACATGTTATACTTAAACAAAACCTCTACTGGTTTCCAAAATAAACTCTTCAGCCACACTTGACTCGCATTTCAAAGACAAAGTCATTTGGTAAGGGAACAAACTTATTTTAAAGTCATCCCAGGGCCAGGGAGATGGCTCAATGGGGTAAAGCACTTGCTGTGCAAGTCTGATGACCTGAGTTCAGATTCCCAGACCCATGTAAAGGCCAGATGTGGTGACAAGTGTCTGCAATCCCAGCATTCCTTCTGTGACATGGTAAGATGGGAGGTGGAAGCAGGAGAATCCCCCTAGAAGCTCACGAGTCAGCTAGCCTGGAGTGGTCAGCACAGGGAAACAACATGAGGCCTTGGCTCAAACAAAGTGAAAGGCCATGGACTGACACCTGAGGTTGTCTTCTGACCTCCACATTATACACAGGTGCACATATACACGGTACACATACACATACACATACACACACACACACAATTAAAAAAAAAAATCTCAGAGGCCAGATCTCATATTATAGAGAAGAAACAGATAGAAAGAGGAACTAAAGGAAAGATGTCCCAGAGCCTGAGCTATAGCTTTGCAAAGGCCTTTCTCTTCTTTTCACAAGGGTCAAATGAAGAGCTGATGCTAATATCTTAAGAGACCAGGATGTGTCATGGGACAGAAGGTAGGGAAAAATATTGCAATGGATCAGAAAACTCAGGTTGAACACAAAAATCAGAGAGGCAAGCACACATTTTAAGCACACAGAGGGCAGCTGTCTGATGCTCTTGCCCACTGGCTCAGATTTCAATACCTTCATCAGCTCCTTTTCTTTGTGGAGGTCCTCGTGAAGTTCGGGAAGCGGCTCTTTGTTTTGTGCTTTCAAAACATGCAGCCTGCTTTTCAGCTCCTTGATTTTCTTTTCAGCCTGGTCCCAGGTCTATTTGAAAACAATATTAAAGTTGGTAAGTACGTGGCTCTCAAGAATGAATTGTTGAAATAGACCAGCTCATCATTTAAGCCAAGCAGTCTTTCTTTGAGGCACTTGGATAAGTCACACAGAAATCAGTTCCTTGTTTCGTGCCAATGATCTTAAGGAACATAAGAGATACGGAAATGACTCGTGACTCATTTCAATCACTGAGTTGGATTGATTTGGAACTATCTCTTCCTCCCTCTCTGTCGCCTTCATCTTTCTAATCTCTGGTTTCTGTTTTGGATAAATTCATATCCAAAAGACTACTTAGGGATTAACTTCTAGCATCTATATCTTAGGTGTGTGCCATAATAGCAGAGTCAGGCAAAGCACACATTTCCTCCATTGTCATCTTTTCTGTTTCGCCCCTCAGTCCCTCCTGGTGCCTGGCTCTGGCAACTCTTTCACATAGCACCTTCCCTCTCCACCTGCCAGCGTCTGCTTAAAAGACTTTGTAGGTGGGTGTGGTGGCACATGCCTCCCAGGACTGGATCTCAGGTAAGTCAAGGTCACCCGGTCTACAAAGTGAGTTCCAGGCCAAGTGGGGCTAAAGGGAGAGAGAAAGAGACCCTGGTTCAAACAAAACTAAATAAAAAACCTCAACAACAGCAACAACAACAACAAAACGTTTTGTGATTTGCAAACTTTACCAATTTACTGCAATCGTAAAAACCTTAGGACACATGGTAAGTAAAGACATATTTAAAATGAGAAAATGGAGGTTCGGAGACTATCAACTGACTCATAGATGGGAAGTTAAAGGCTCAGGTAAGGGATGGCCAACTCTTTTCCTTAAATCTTACATTACTGAGCAAATAGGTGTTTGCATTTTCAAGTTTCTGGTGTTAAGGTTTAATTCACTACAGTAACTTATTTCTGAGGTCACTAAACTATATAAACATACAGTAAGAGCTCATTCTATTACTTAGAATTGATACCCAAGTATTTTGGGGGTAGCCTAGTCTAGGGTGACACCCTACGTAAGGGAGGTCCCAAAACGACTATGTGGAACTCAGCTAAGGAGGAGGCAAGGAGAGCCGTGAAAGTGTTGAGTCTCAGCCTCTTCAACCTGGATTTTTATTCACCCTGAGCTTTACCAACAAGGCTGATGCTGAGTCAGGGTTTCCTAGTGCATGGATTCCACACAGTCTATATTCCAAAGGAAACTCACGTTATTCAAAGGACGGATGCTTATGCCAATTCAGCACAGAATTATTCTTAGAAAAATCTCTGAATAGTTTGGTTATCTGTTACTGGTATATACAATAGACTAGAGGCGTGTGGGCAAGCTTAGCAAGAGAATAAGAAAGTAAAAATAGATGTTTAATACCAGAAGAGAAAGAGAACCCTAAAAACTGCGTTGGAATTCCAAGAGCTTTGTAGCATTGAGTTATAAGTTCAAAACAGTTCAGCCTTGAGAACAACTTGGTATTCTGGAAAAAAAAACAAAATCCAAAAATAATGATTTTTTTTCCTAATGACTCAAAACATTTCACTTTTTTCCCCTCCTTTAGACAGTGTCTCATCATCTAGCCCTAGCTGGCCTGAAACTGTGTAGACCAGGCTGGCCTCAGATTCACAGAGATCTGCCAGACCCTGCCTCCCACCATGATTGGCAACATTTCATTTCTTAAACACAGTGACAGATTATACAAGAAACTCCCTCTTGTGGAAAAGTGCATTCTCTGATGACAGCAGAAAAATACAGTAGGATCATGCTTACTTTCAAGCATATACCAGGAAAGAGAAAAAGTGGAATGTTGGCTTTGTGTCCTGACCATCCACAGAATATGAATATTTCATGTTTCATTAAAGGAAGTATCTTTTATAGCATTTATTTGTTCATTTGTTTATTTATTTACTTTGTATGTGTGGCTGCACATATGCCACATCTTGTGATTTAGGTCAGAGGACAACTTGCAGGAGTCAATTCTCTCCTTCCACCATATGGATTCTGGGGATTGAACTCAGGTTATCAGGCTTAGCAGCAAGTGCCTTTATCTACTGAGTCATCTCACCAGCCCAAAGTAAGTATCTTTTCAGCTCCTCAAGTTTTTATACTCAACACTGAGCTTTTTCCATGTGGTAATTATTTTATTAGTAGTCATTACTGGCATGACTAAAGATTAGTAGGACTTGATTTCCATTGGAAACTCAAAATATCAGATTAAAAAAAAATATCACTCGCATTTTCACATGGAAAACAAGTAGTGTACGCACTCTACTGGAATATCAAGAGTGCAAAGGTAAATGGTGGGTGGATTACCTCGACCGTGCTTTGCAGCTGGTGGATCATCTCCCCTAGGCGGAGCTCTGTGTCCTTCCAGGTGTCCCGAAGCTCACTGGCTCTCCTGTCAATTAATTCTTTAGTTTCCAGGTTGGGTGTGTTCTGTAACATCTCCCCAGCTTCCAAGGCCAATACATAGGTGGTTCGCTGCCTCTGAAAATGGATCTCTTTGCTCTAAGAGGAAAAATGGTTTGTTTAAGCCTATGATGTGATGGAAATGTGATTGTGTGTATTTCCCTCAGAACTTTTCTTAAATGTTAAATTGGGCATAAGTTAGACAAAGCTATACAGAATGCATGTGTGTGAGTATACATACCCACTCATTCATATCAAAAGCTAAGGTTGTACTTTAAGTAGACAGTATAATCCCAATGAGGAGGTTTTGTTTGTTTTGGGCTTTGTTTTTTGTGTTTTGAGACAGGGTTTCCCTGTAGCCCCAGCTGGCCTGGAACTTGATATATAGACCAGGCTGGCCTCAATCACATAGCGATTTGTTGGCCTCTGCCTCTCAAGTGCTAGAATTAAAGATGTGTGCCACCACACCCAACTCCAAACGAGGCGTTTTTAAGATAATTTCCACAGGACGTGGGAGACCCTGCCTCAAAAAAGACAAAAAAAAAAAAAAAAAAAAAAAAAAAAGAAAAATTCCAAAGAAATAACAAAGAGATAAGTGTAATGATGAAAAACTTTGAGAAATTAAAAATAGACTCATGATAGAACTGGAGAGAAGGGTTTGCAGTTAAGAACATTGGCTGCTTTTGCAGAGGGCCTGGGTTCAGTTCCCAGCACCCACATGGTGGTTTACAACCATCTGTAACTCCAGTTCCAGGGGATCCAACACCCTCTTTTGGCCTATGTGGAAACTGCATAAATGTGGTGTACTTATATACATGCAGGCAAACACTCATACACATAACAAAAATCATTTTTTATACTGGCTATCACCATGGAAACCTAGAAGAGTAGATTGTGCCCATTACACATAAGAGAATGGAGAGAACTCATTTAAAAAGTGCAACAATTGAACTTACAATAAATATATTTATCAATATATGCACTAAAGAACAATGAAAAATCTGATCTGAATATGACAGTTTTTTCTTTAAAGAAGATTCAAATCAGCTACTTATAACAAAAAGAAAAGGGAAACTCTTTAAATTGATTCATGCTTTCAAAAGCATTTGCTTTCAGGGGTCTTCCTATGTAGCCCAGGGTTGCCCTTGAACTCAGTGTGTAGCCCAGGCTGACCTGGAACTGATGATCCTATTGCCTCAGCCTCTCTACTACTGCCTGGTTCAGGGAAAAAAAAATCCATAGTTTTTGTCTAGTGTAAACACAATTTCCTTAGTCTTCTCATTTCTAAACTAAGATATTTTCCAAAATGGAGGCTAATACATAATGGGTGCAGAGGTACTTCTGAGAAGACTGGGATCACAGTCTCAGAATGTGTGCTCAGGAGCAGCGTGGCTCGACTCTGCTCCTCAGGCCACCTCTTCTGGGACTTGGTCAGCATCATACAATTTACCAAGATGCTCTGTCCAAAATGCTGGAAATCTTCCCTAACTCAGCCTTTTCTTTATTTGTGACATCCAAACTGTGAGTGAGTCTTGCAATCTCTCTCTACAAAAATATCCTTTATAAAAAAATTTCTCCTCAAACAGCCTTGATTTTTGCTGCCTTTGCTCTCCAGAACCACTGACAATTTCCTCACTGGCATAGCAGATTGTTTTTATAAAATGGTCACAACACTGTCTTTTGGAACCTTGCTACTCTTGAGGGTACCTGTGTTCCTTGCTCTTGAACCATGAGGGTCTGTCTGTCTAAGGCTCCAAGGAGGGAGATACCAGAAAACAATGTCCAAGGAGCACTCCAACTGTTCTGGCCTCTGTCTGTCTTTCCAGCTTAAATGACAGACCTGAGGACAGGAATTCTTGGGATGACTCTAGCCTAAACTTCTATGGAAAGGAAGCTGCCTGCCACCTGCTGAGCCCCATCATCCCTGGAACCACCATGAGAGAGTAACAGCTGCTAAGTAGCACTCGGTGTGTGAGATGTTAGCATTCCTGTTTCCCTTTCAGCAGTCCTGAGTCTAATCTCAGAACGGCCAGCATGAATGTTAAAACACACATCCTATCAAACAGCTCTTGCTCCCCACCAAACCCCCTCAAAGGCTTCCTCCCTTTCCATCCAAGGAGTGATCTAGCCAGCTCACCTAGGTTTTCAAACACTCCTCTCTGCCTGCTTCCCAGAACCGCCTTCTGCTACTGCTGCCTCACTGAGCTCCAGCCAGACCAGCCTCCTTGTGTGTCTACTTCACTGGGCCCTTTTGGGGACTCTAGGTAAGCTGTCCTCTCTGCCTGGACTGCTCTTTCCTCAGATCTTTGCAGAGTTGGTACCTTCCTCATCATCCAGGTCTGTTTAAATGCCACAATCCCAGACACCACCCAAATCTAAAGCAGCCACCCATCCCCTCCATCACCCACATGAGCCTGATTGCAATCTGGTATTTACTTGTTTATTTGTTAGTTTGCTTGAATGCTCCCCAGAGTGGGAGTCTTCCAGTCTGTACAATATGATGACAGAGGCTAGCACAGAACACTCAATATGTGATGACTGGACAAGTGAATGGGGTTAGCCCACGTTCTCAGGGGTGGGTTGGTATTTGGCTGTTTCTCTAGTTAAGGAAACATGTTCAGAAACTTACTCCAGTCCTACGATCACAAAGCAAGTATCCTCCCTCCCTCACTTCTTTCTTTAAAGTTTTTTTTTTTTTTTCTTTTAATACATGCTAGAGCATGCATGCCATGTGAGGGTCAGAGGACAACTTGTGTGAGTCTCAGGAATGGAACTTAAGTCTTTAGGTTTGGGGGTAAGTGCCTTCTTTCAGTTAGCACCTCAAACTTCTCCCATTCTACCCACCCAATTTTCACGGTCTGCCTCCTCTCGTGTCCCCAGAGAGCTTCTCTATTTCTAGACGAATGGATAAGATGGAGTTTCAGATCCCACCAGGCTAGGAACCAGGCTGTGGCTGGCTACATCTAGGTGGCCTTCCATTGCACAGAACACACTTGGATTAAGACATCATAGAAAATATAAAACCTTAGGCAAACAGACGTCTTGTGAATAAAGACCCCCCCCATCCCGGCTTATCACCCCTCAACTGTGCATGTTACCTTCAGCTCATGCATGAGGTATCTGGTCTGGTAGAGGCTGTAACAGTCCCGTCCCTTCACTGCAGACAGCAAGTGGCTGGTGCTGGTGAGGAAACGGATCAAATCCTCTATGGAGGTGGTAAAGTACTGCCACTGTCTCACCAGCCTGTTGATGTCACATTTCTTTTGCTGAATGCCCTGGGTGGCATTCTGCCATCGGTCCAACAACTTTGAGAATTCTGAGACAAATTCTGGTCTGGGAAAAACAAATGGTGAGAGATTCCTAACATGAAAATGTAGAAAAAAATAAATTATCGGGGAGTGGCAGGAGATGACCTGTTTGTATGTATAATTTACACAACTTCTTAAAACCTGAGCCGCGTTCAGTTTAAGCACAATGAAGCATGCAGTTGGTGAAAGTGTTTTATGAGAAGCTGGTATTTTGTCAGCACTGGGAGAAAAGCATTCCCTTAAACACAGTGAAGCTGTTTTAACATACATTATGCCAAATCCACACAGAAATACAGAAATTAGACCATGGGAAATGCATGATCAGGCAGGTACTTTGTAAAGCTGTAGATACTGGATTGGTACTTTATACAATGGTAACAAAGAAAGAGGGTGTTTAACTGCAGCTACTCGGCTAGTTCTTTCTGGATGAATAATTTTCATATGAGAAATAAGACCTTTATTTATTATAGGAAAGCCATGACTTGTCAAAATGATCAAATCAAAAGTAATTTATTATGCTGAAATGGGCCTGAATTTATCATTTCAGGGCTATGAAGACATGGATTTTGTATTTCTTAGATATAGTGAACAAAGATTCAGAGGTGGTAACCAAAGTGACAGCCATCAGGACACTCGAAGGGTTTAAGCAGCTGGGCTACCTCTGGATTCTGGTCACATGAACCAGTTGCATGCAGCTCAGCTGTGCTCAGCAGTTGGTCTCTGCTAACCTGCCTGGCACTGTCCACTGACTCTACCTCCAGGCACCCAGCCAGGGGAGAGACCCCTCCTTTCACCAGTATGGCACAGCTTCCTGCTTGGGATGGTGGCACTTTACAACTTATTCTGAAATGACAAAACCTCATGAGGATAAGAGAAGAGAGGAAAGTGTCAGACAGAAGAATCATTGTTAAAAATTAGTTAAGGGGTCAGAGAGATAGCTCAGCAGTTAAGAGCACTGGTTGCTCCTGCAGAGGACCCAGGTTCAGTTCCCGGCGCCCACATAGCAGCTAAGAACTGTTCATAACTCTAGTTCCAGGGGATCTGATGCCCCTTTTGGCCTCCAAGGGCATTGCATGTCACAGGTGCACTTACATGTAGGCAAACCACACAAAAATTTACAAAAGATCTTTAAAATTAGTTAATATACTTGGGGAGTGTACACCTTCAAACACTTCTGTGCTACTAACTTCATCCACCCACCACAGGGAAAAGTGTCACTGGTATTTTTATGGTCATCAGGCAAAACCCAGTCCTAATGTGGAGGAAGAAGACTGTCCCATCTTGATGTATCTACTAACATGGCTGCAGGGCATGGATACAGTCAGAGGTTACATGGTAGCAGTTAGAAGGAATAAACCAGTATCTCCCAGCACAGTGGTTCACAATAACCCATGGTGCATTTTATGAATAACTAAAAGAAAAACTTGAAGCCTCCAAACATAAAGAAAGGATAAAGAGATGATTAGCACCATTGCATCGTACCATTGTAACAATGTACCAGAATGCCACACACCACCCTATCTATGTGTGCAAAGGCTCTCATGTCAGGAGGCCTGTTCTACCGAGGGCGTTCGTTCTGGAATCCCACACAGCTTACCTCTTCTCTACTTCTGTTGTGTCCAGAAGTTGTAAGGACTGGATGACATAAGCATCAGCAATTGTCTGGTTTACAGAAACTTCAGCTTCTAACATCTGTGTATGAACCAAAATATAAAATATCAGACAATAGAATTCCTTGTAAGGAATCTGGAACTTATACCTCTTATTAAAATCCAAGCTCTAAGAGGATTTGTGCAATGATTAATTTCCAAGTTATTTGAACTCAAATGCAAAAAAATGACCAATCATCATGTTAGTATCACCTAGAACATGATACTGGGGAAAAAAAAAAAACACCCCAGATTTAGTTAATTGTAGCTATGCCTAAATGCCTATGACCAATGGATGATAGTTTTTTAGTTTTTTGAGATACAGTTTTACTATGTAGCCTAAACTGGCCTTAGACTTGGGGTCTGGGGTCCTTTTTCCTCCCAAGTAGCTGGGACTGCAGGTAGGAGTCACTGCACTCCCCCTCATTGGATGGTCTTAATGTAACAATGTAGACTTAAACTCATTGCACTAAAATATTACAGTGGGGATGAAATCTGGGTTCAATTCCCAGCACTATATAAAGCTGGTTTGGTGCCATGAGCCCATAATTCCAACACTTATGAGGTAGAGGCAAAAGAATCAGAATTTCAAGGTCACCTTCAGCTACATAGTGAGTTTGACGCTAGTCTGGGTTACATAAAACCACGTCTCAACCCTCCACCCCCCATTATAGTGAACTAATCATACACACTGTGAAATGCAGAACCTACCTACAACCTCTAGAAATATTTTAAACATATACCAACAGGGGGATGGACAAGACTCTTCTTGAAATTATCAATGCTGAAGTTTTGATTATAGCATTTACTTCAATCCTATAGTAAATGAGACTGCAAAGATGAGCTGAGGCACTTTAACACACTCACGTTAGAGTGGCTAAATAATAACGCTTGCATTCTGGGGAAGCAAAGCTGCTCTCGAAGCTTCCAAGTACTTCAGTCAACCTGGAAGTGCTGTTGGTAACAGAATGTAGTGGTAGAACAAAATGACAGAAAAAATATGGAAGAATTTTACAAATGGTAACTGCTTAAAGGTAGGTACCCCTATATTTTATTTGAATCTATCTTTTCCTGACCCCTGCCCCAGGGCAAGCAGCTCAAGGGAGGCCGAGCACAGATTTACCTCGTAGGTTTTCTGCTGTTCTAGGAGCGCTGGAAGGCTCTGGGCAATATCCACATTAACTGCGTCCTCTATCTTCTCCAATAGCTGGATCCACTCTTCACAGTAATGAAGAAACTTTTCATTCAATCCATAGCCCTGAAGTTTGCTACAAAGGTTTGAAAACAAACAAAGCAGTGCCTTATAATGATGGTAATATTATCTTCCCTGAAGAAATGGCAGAGACGGTATGTTCTGACCTGTAGTGGTCCAGCGCCGTGGCCGTAGCCCGGATCCACTGCCGATTCACATCCTGTAACGTTTTCACAGCCATGTCACTCAGGGGCAGCTTGAGGCTCTCTTCATTCAAACACTCAATGGCAGGGGACTGGGCTGTCAGTGCCAGGACATGGTTCTAGGGAAAAAAAGTCTAGATGTTTTTGATGGCAATAAACTATTTAGATGATGAAATGGCCTCCTTATGTTAAGGATGAGGGAAAACAGGACTTGTTTGTATATAGCTAGTTAGTGCTAGAACTAGACCTGAACTCAGATCCCTTAAGGGTGTGCTTACTTGGGGATGCCAGCCTGCACACACTTGTATGATGGTTCACCTAGGAGCTATACCTTCAGGCATGTCTCTGAGGTTGTCTTCAGAGAGATTTAACTGAGGAGGGAAGACCCACCTGTAGGTCAGGAGGCCTAGACTGAATAAAGAGAAAGAAGAAGGCCCCGAGTGCCAGCATTCATCTTTCTGCTTCCTGACTGTGGATGCAACATGACTGGCTGCTCCCACTCCCTCCACCACGCCTCCCCACCATGATGGCCTGTGTCCATGACAAGATGCTCACAGTCCATTCCCACCACCATGCCTTCCCACCATGATGGCCTGTGTCCATGACAAGATGTTCACACTCCATTCCCACCACGATGGACTGTATCCCTTCAAACCATTAGCCAAAATAAACCCTTCTTTTGAAAAACTTTTATTATTATTATTGTGAGTGTGCCTGATGTCTGTCTGAACGTGTGTGTGTGTGTGTGTGTGTGTGTGTGTGTGTGTGTGTGCGTGCACGTGCACGCACGCACGCACACCCCATGGTACACATATGGAGGTCAGAGGACAACTTGATGGAATTGGTTCTTTCCTTCCACTTTTATGTTGGTTCCAGGAATTGAACTCAGGTCATCAGCATGGCAAATGTTTTTACCTACTGAGCTGTCTCACTGGCTCCCAAACCCTTCCCTCATAAGTCATTTGTCACACATGACAAACACCAAAACAACCCAGGAAGTAGGACATTAGATTTTTGTCTATAAACAAGATCAAAAATGAGCTTTTTAAAAAATGATCAATTCTAGACCCTCACATCCTATTTAGTGTGCCAATAACTTGACCTTCAATAGGCCATACAATGAGCCTACATATCAAATGAAAATTTGATCCTAATATAATCCTAGCAAAGTATTTTAAGAAAACACTCTACCCATATTGTGGTAGAATGTGAAATCACAAAAAAGCAAACTCATCAAAAATTTATTTTTAAAAAGATTCCAGGGACAGCCTCCAGGTCAACAATGTCAACAGTATATTAAATAAACTTCTCCTAAGTATTCACAATATTTCTAGAACACTGCTGTTGTATTCTAGGTCAGGGTCAACAAACATTTTCTGGAGAAGGCCAGACCATAGATGTTGAAGACTATCTGGTCTGGGTAGCAACTCCGTCCTCATAGCATGAAATCTCTCACAGATAATGTGTAAATGGAAGGGCACAGCTCGGCTTGAATAAAATTTGACAAAATTAAAAGGTTGACTTGGATTTGGACAGCAAGCCATTATTTGCTGACTCCTGACAGAGTTTATAAATATTGATCCTTGGGAGTTGCAAAATAAAAAAATCTTTAGTTCCTTTGTTCATTTTATGTTAGTTACACAGAATTTACTAAGGTAATTAAAAAGGAAAAAAATCTCAATTTTAATCAAGTATTTTACATTTGAACTTCAAACTAACCAGAAAGATCCAATTAATCACAATAGAGAATTCTTAGATTGGGCGCACTGAAGTGAATTCATGGTGACCTAGTGACCTCAAGAATAATAATTAAAAAAAATTTATGGACACCCACTAAACAGATATATCAATAACTTGTTAGTAAAATAGGTCCCTATACTGTTCTACTTTTTCATTCCTTATTAAAATAGGGCAGGAATGAAAGGCAAGTAAACAACTGTGCTCCCAAGTCATTTAGGATGCAAGCACATTCATGTAGCAGCAACTAGCTTATTTTTTAAGTCCTATGCTGAGTCTAAACCCTTAGGAAAGACAAATATTGCCAATACCAGGAACAAGTCAGGATTTTCTTCTTTCTCTTCATGGTAAAGTTTATCCAAATTTTCTTCCTCATGCATAATAAGATCTTTTAAAGATTCTAGCCGGTCTTCAAAATCCTTAAACTGTGCCAGAACAATCTAGAAAGAGATACTTTCATTAGAAACTATTTTCACAGGCATATATGACAGAATTAACACAGACTTGGGGGCTGCTAGGGTTCAAGTTATTTTTAGTTCATTATCTCACAGATGACTCCACAGAGGCCCTGGATTTTTACTCTGTGCCTTTGAATCTTCCCAGAAGAATGGCTTACCTGCCAAGGGCCACCCACAGCCAGTGAGCAATCCTGCTAGTTAAATGTCTCCCTTCCTGATGATACTGAGGCATCCGATATCAGAACTTCATGTCCTATGTAGTTCACACACTATATGCTTCTCAAAAAATGAATAAAGAATCTACCAAATGGGTCGGGAGAGATGGCTCAGAGGTTATGAATGCATACTGCTCTTGTAAAGGATCCAAGTTCAGTTCCTAGCAACTATAATCAAGTGTCTTACAATTGCATGAAACTCTAACTCTAGGGGATCTGACACCCTCTTCTGGACTCTGAGGTCACCTGCACTCATGTGCACATACACACAGATACACACATACACATAATTTAAAAATAAAAAATAAATCTTAAAAAAAAAAAAAGACTCCATGGGGCTGGAGAGATGGCTCAGTGGTTAAGAGCACTGACTGCTCTTGCAAAGGACCCAGTTTGAGTCCCAGCACCCACATGGTGGCTACAAACCATCCTTAATTCCAGTTCCGGGGGAATTTGAAGCCCTCTTCTGACCTCCACGGCATTGCACGACACAGTGTACTCACATACATGCAGGCAATACACTCATACACATAAAAATAATAAATAAAATATTAAAAAAAGGACTCCAACAAATGGCTGCTTAATTTCTATGTCTCAGTAACTACTCACAAATCCAGATAACTGAGATCTGAACAGGGTATGAAACATGCCACTTGTGGAACTAACATGCCTGAGACAGAAAAAATGGTTACTTAAGATCTGTCTGTTGCTCATGGGATTCCTGGAGCAAAACCATGTCTGAGATAGTTTCAACTCTGCAGTTTCCCTAAGGTACTCATAAAGCTGCTTCATGGGGTTCAAGGGATTGAGGGTAGCAGAGGTCTAAGTCCACCAGTTAAATAGAAAAGCAAAGCAAACCTCAAATTCATTTGATTTCAGCAGCAGCATCTTTTCCAAATAGGCAGCTGTCTGGAGGGAGTGCAGTTGCCCAGAATGGAGTCCAGGGACACTGTTCTCTTCAGGCTGTGGGAGCCGAGCCAGGAGGGCAGAATTTTCAAGAAAGGCTTCTTTTGTCTTTAGTACACTGTGCTGCAGCTCCTGAAGAAGGAAAAAGGATCACCAAACTTACTTCGTTCACACCACAGTTCCATATCAATATCCAGGAAAAGTTTTGACTTGAACCTTGTACTTTTGTGGGGTTTTTGTTTGTTATTGTTTATTTTAAGCAGCTGACAAAGTTAAAGTTTTGTCACATGATGTGTCGCACTAGTGCTGTTCTGAAGTGTGGCAGTTCAGAGCTGAACCTGTCCAATGCCCAAGAGAGCTGAGACTTGCAGTTTCTAGAAGCTGGAGACCAGCTTTGAAGACTCATGTGTTTTGTGTTTCTGATTATCTAACACCTTAGGGATGGGCTTTCAAAATCATCTCAAGAATCAACACAAGCCTGACCCCTGCCTCAGTCTGATATAAATGGATTCCTTCAGGGTCTACAGGATCTCATTAAACAAGCAGGGGAGAGGGAGCATACTCTGAAAACACTGTGTGTGGGGGAATTCATGAGTTTTTGATTGGCTTTGTTTCGAAATAGGCGAGTACAAGTTGATTATAAACATAGATCATAGCCAGGTTTGGTGGTGCATGCCTTTAGGCCCAGCACTAGGGAGGCAAAGGCAGGCAGATCTCTGTGAGTTCCAGGCCAGCTGGAGCTATACAGGGAGACCCTGTTTCAAAAAAGACAAAAAAAAAAAAAGTAGACCATAACCACAGGGCTTTGGTCTTTCTAATTAAAATGGGCACTGTTTTTGACTTGACTTACTGTGTTAGATGATACAAAATACATCTTGTCACTAAGTTAAGAAATGCCAAATAAGCCAGGCATTGTGGCACTCGCCTTTAATCCCAGCACTTGGGAGGCAGAGGCAGGTGGATCTCTGTGAGTTCAAGGCCAGCCTGGTCTACATAGTGATTTCCGGGACATCTGGGGCAACAGGGAGACCCTTTCTAAAAAAAAAAAAAAAAAAAAAAAGAGCCAAATATTCACTTTACGGGTGTTTTTTTTAAGTGTTGGAAAAACAACATAGCTGAAATTACACTGTTCTACAGTCTAAAAAGCACTAAATCCATAGAAAAGCTGTACTCACATGGCACTAAGTCCGTGATAACTATTTGTTTATTTATCATGTATGTGTACATATGTGTGTGGAGGCCAGAGGTCAACCTTATTTTTTTGAGATGGGGTCTTTTGCTGGCCTAAGGCTCGCTGATTTGCCTAAGTTGATTGGCTGGTGAGTCCCAGGGACCTTCCTGTCTCCATCTCCCCAGCACTGGGATCACAAGCACTGTACCCAGTTTTTTACATGGGTGCTAGAGGCTGAATTCAGATCTCATGCTTGCTTGTCAAGCACTTTATTAGCTGAGCCATCTCTCTGACCTCATTATGATTATCATTATTTTTAAAGATTTATTTTTGTTTTTAATCATGTATATGTGTCTGTTCACCTGTGCTCTAGTACCCTTCAAAACCAGAAGAGGGTACTGGATGCCCTAAAACCTACAGGCAGTTGCAAACAGTTGTAAGCTGCCTGATGTGAGTGCTGGGAACTGAAATCGGGTCCTCTGTGAGAGCAGTAGAGTACATACTCTTAACTTCTCAGCCATCTCTTCAGAGATTCCCCCCCAATTATTTTTTAATATTTACTTATTTATTTATTTTTGTGTATGAGTGTATTGCCTGCATATATGTGAGTGCGCCACTGTGCAATGCCTGAGGAGATCAGAAGAAGGTGTCAGATCTCCTGGAACTGGAGTTGCAGACAGTTGTTAGCCACCATGTGGTGCTGAGACTCGAATCTGGGTCCTCTGCAAGAGCAGTCAGTGCTCTTAACCACTGAGCCATCTCTCCAGGCCCTCAATTATCATTATTTAAAAAAAAAATTTCTTATTTTTATTTTATGTTAATGCATGTATTGCCTGCATGTAGATAAGTGCACCCGTGTCATCTAATGCCCACGGAGGACAGAAGAGGCTGTCAGATCCTCTGGAACTGGAGTTACGGACACTGGTAAGTGGCCATGTGGGTGCTGGGATTCAAACCCGGGTCTTCTGTAAGAACAGCCAGTATTCTTTACTGCTGAGCCATCTCTCTAGCCCCTCAATCATTTTTTAAAGCAAGAGATTCAATATCTGTTATTCTTAGATGATCACACCCAGGTGAGACACTTTTGCTTTTATTTCAGACTTTGTATGAGGCTTTTGCTTAGGAATTTAAATACTAGAATGGAAGTATAAACTTGGAAAAAGGTAAGGTCAGGACCCTCTGACCCAGGTACCACCTGGTCCTCCCAACCCCACATGTCCCATCTCACCTGTGCCCTATGTGGCCAGCTCAAGATACCTGTCCTGATTGATAACTTCTCTGTCCCTGTGACCTGTCCCATCCCAGTGTTGTGACTGGTCCTGTCTGTTGGGGTGACTTGGCTTAGTTTTCCCCAAGGCTTTGCACCCACCTTTAGGTCCTGCAGGGCCAGTGGCAGGATCTCTGCTAGGTTGCTTCCAGACATGTTGATGTTGGTGAGTTGTTGGAACTTTGTTTCCTGCTGCTCCAGCTGGGCTGTGGCTTCTGTGTGTGCAGTGTGAGAAGCCTTCCAGAGCTGCAGCCGACTTTGGGCCTCCTGCAACTGATCTGCAAGGTCTTGGTTCACCTGAGTCCACCTGTCAGTGGGACATGAACAACAGAGCCCTCATCCCATCCTTTCCCTTGTAGCAAAACTACAATGCACATACTCTACCAGGAAGTTAAAAGCTGATGGATTTTTAAGGAGATGTTGTCAAATGCTTTTTAAAATGAATGGCACCATTATAGAAATAGAAATCCATACTAGGTCATCTACATGAATTTATAACATTGAGCAAAAGTTATAAACTTTGTCATTAGAAAGGCACATATATTTTGTTTCATGAACACCTGCACTGCAAATGTAAGAAAGCACTGAATCACATGCCTGATGGAATAGTCCTTATTTTCAAGTAAAAATAAAGGAACCTGTCTTATTCCATATACAGATTATATCTTGCTATCTTTCCCACTGACTTGAAAACATTTCACTTTTCAGGCTGGTGAGATGGCTCAGCTGTTAAGAGCATCACCTATTCTTGCAGATGAGCTGGGTTTGGTTACCACCACCCACCCGGAGGCTAACAAACATTAGTAACTCCAGTTGCAGCGGCTCCAAGTCCCTCCTCTGGCCTCTGCAGGCATTGCACACACACTTGGTGCACTTATATATATACAGATAAAACATATACATAAAATAAAAAGAAATAAAGAATATTTTAAAAGTTTTTACTTTTCCATGTTAGTAATAAAGAGAAAACCTAGCAAGGGACAGTGGCTTATGCTTGTAATCCCAGCACTCAGGAGGTTGAGGCAGGTTGAGGCACTACAAATTTGAGGCTAGCCTGGACTACACAGTGAGTTTCAGCCAAGACTGCAGAGTGAGATTATATCTAAAAAAAAAAAAAAAAAAAAATGAAAAATGAAAAACTAATTTTAAATGGCTGTACAAAACATTCTTCCAATAATCTGTTGAACTTACATGTACAGACACAGGAATATACCTCAGTGGTAGAACACTTGCTTGGGATACACAAGGCCCTGGTTTCAATTCATAGCAATGCAAAAAACACCAACAAAGAAAAATAATGATATAACGTATGTACTGCAAGGAGCTGAATTCCCTTGATGGCAACAATGCCTATGTGTTGAGGGTGTCCTTGATAACAAATGTAAAGCTAGACACATCACCATCCTCCTAATGTGGACTGGATAGAGACCCAGGAGCACTAAGGCAGGGTTTATGATTTGGTGGACTACATTTAATACATTTAATACCAGTGAAAACTGGTTGACTGTAGCAGTTGATTCTGCCTGGAGGAAGGCTGGAGGAGAACACTCAAAGCAGCTTAATTTCTCCACACTAGATCTAGGTCATGTTCCAAGAGATATTTTGAACACACTCACTCTATTTTACAATGTTCTGGTGATATTTGAGCGCCGCCTCGAGACTGCCCACCTAGCCCGCCCCTCAACATTTTGCTAGCATTTAGAGACTGTGCTGTCAGTGGCTACCACAGGCATTTCTAGACTATCCCAGGCATTGTATGAGGGACATGATGCCCTCATGACATTGACCTTACATGAAAAATGGTATCTTTCAAAGAAGAGCCACAATTCTGTGAAACCAGTCACCTTGAAGGATTAAGGAGACTTTACAAGGCCTAAAGTCAAGATATCTGGTCTACCCTTCAACTTGCATTCAGAGAGTACCTTGAATGAGCACTTTGGCATTTCTCTTCAATTATTTCAGCAATGGAGGGGCAGGAATCCTTGAGTCTGCCGATAACTTCCCGGAGCTTCTCCCAGCTCCCCTCACTGCTCTCAGCTTCATCCTGAAGGGCCTAAGAACACAGAAGAAGGTTCAGATGGCTTGGGTATCCTGCTGGAAGGCAGCAGCTTCTCAGCCCTTATGAAGCAGAATGACACAATCACACAGTCAGTATAAGATGGTGACAAGAGCAGGAAGAAGAAGGAACTGACAAGACATTCTGTCCTTGAGAGCTGTTACACACACACACACACGGTGGGATTTCATAGATTATGAAATGAAATAGACATGGAAAATTCAACATATACTTAATGAAGTTTACTGTGATTCACGTGACTATGCCTTTGACATCTCTTGTCAACACACCACTTTTTGCTTCTCTGTAGCCAGCTCAAAAGTACCTATGTTCATTACTATTCTTGCTTCCTTCTGGATTTTTTTTTTTACCCACAATGCCTTTGGCTACACGTTGGTTGATTTACCTGAAGGTTCTGCACCTGGCAACTCAAGGCTTCTAAAGATAAAACCGAAGGCTTGCTGTGTTCCGTGCAGTATGCAAGTCGAATTGTCATCACATTGGTTTCCTCGTAGAGCTTGTCATAAGCCTTCCACTCCTGCAGCACAGACTGCATGGAGGCTTTGAGCTGACCAACCTGTGTGAGAGGGGAAAGTCTGGTTTAGAAGATCCTCGAGACATGGTCACTCACTTTTTTTTCCTTTCCAAAGAATTTACCAGTTTCCAATTTAGGCATTTCAATTAGAAAGTACTGGAGGATAGCCAGTGGTTTCCTGAAGGTGGGAAGGGCAGGTTAAAAAACAAACATTTCAGAGTAGGCTGTTTTAGGTGAGGTGGGTGGAAAAGAGCCCCAAGTTCATGAGGATCCCAACAGACCGAGGGAAAGGCCGCGAGGCACGGAAGACAATCTGATCATTGGAGTCACTGTTAGCGTTCTGGCCTTGGGCAAATTATTCAACCTTGCTGCTTGTTTCCTTACACACAAAACATATCAAAACAATCCCAAAACAAATACATAGTGTTTGTGAAAATTCTTTAACCATTAAGCACTCTAAGATGCTAACTGTGATGCCTATCACTTAGGGGTGATAACTGTAAAGCCAGCACAAGCTGGAGAGGAACAAGACCCCAGGGATGAGCAAGAGTCAAGGGCAGGAGGCAATGGCAGGCATATTTTATCCAATGGAACATTTTGATGATGGAAGTTGAGCATCTCACTGCCTAGTGAAAATGATCACAGAAGCCAGGTGTCGTGGTGTGTGACTGTAATCCCAGTACTAGGAAGGCAGAGGCAGGAAAAGCATGTGATCAAGCCTGGGCTACATGGTGAATTCCAGGCCAGCCATACATAGTGAATTCCATACCATACATGGTATGGCACTGTCTCAAAAAAAAAAGAGGAGGAAAAAAAAGGACCATTAAGATGGCTCAGCAGGTAAAGATGCTTACGGCCACACCTGGGGACCTAAGTTCAATCCCTGGAAAACACATGATAGAAAGAATTGACTGCTGTACCTTGTCCTCTGACTCCTATACATATGCATGGCACACGTGCCCACACATACACAGGTACAAGAAAAATTAAAAAATGAAAAAATAGATGAATAAATAAAAGTTAATACCCTCTTCCAAAGAAAGAAAAAGAGAAACTTATTTATAGTCTGTGGAGAATATGTAAAGGACACAACTTGACAGTAAAGGACAAACAACTAAAGAATGGGCAAAGACATCTCTCCAAAGCTGCAGACATGGTCAACAAGTACATCAGAAGATACTCAGCATCCACAGTCACAAGGGAAATGCCCTTGGGAACCTCAGTGGCCCCCCTTGCTAACACTTGCTATTTTCTGTCTTTATTGTACCTCTGGGGTACAAACTGGCATTCCATTATGGTTTTGATTCTCATTCCCTTGATGGTGATTAACACTGAGCATCTTTCCACCTGCTTAGTGGCCATTCACATTATTTTCCAGACAGATGTCTAGTCATTTCCCTACTGTTCTCATTTGTTCTATTACTCTGCTGTAACTTATCATATTGCACACACAAGCCCTTTATCAAATACATGATTTGTAAATATTTTCTCCCATCCTGTAGCTTGCCTTCTCACTTAATTTTGATCAAACCCAATTTATTTATTTTTTCCTCTGGATGTTTATTACTTTCAATGACCAATCTAGGAGACGGTCCTCAAGATTTATGCTGATGTGTTCTTCTAAGAGCTTTATTTAAACTTTCACATTTATGTCTTTAATTTGTTTTAAGTTGAATTTCGAACACGGCATGAATTGGAGTTCTGTGTCACCCTCTTGCATGTGGATATACAGGTGCCCCTGTGCCTTACTGTGAAAAGGATACTCCTCCACCCTGTGAACTATCCTCCTGTCTTTGCTGGAAAATCAACTGAGGGTTTATTTCTGGATTATTTCACTCACCTGTATGTCCTTACTTATAATTTCACTAGCTGCATATTTTTAAATATACTACCTTATTTAAATGCACCCTCTATATTTTATTATATTATAATTCATTCTATTGCAATTATCTATCTACCTGTTCATGTGCATTGCCTACGCTGCCTGAGCTCTGTGAGGGTAGGATTCAAATAATTTTGGTTTATCTTACTTAGTGGTAAGCAGAGCAATTCACACAAACATGATTAGCACACAACTGAACAAGTTTATCCCTATGTCAGAGGCCCAGGATAGATACTGCAGGTTGCCCAGGGATACCATTCCCACAGCTTGTACCCGGTTCCCTCTTGGAACACAAACTTGAAAGTGGATTGTAGTAGATGACAAATCCCAGTGAGGACTCTGGGGGAAACACGGACACATACTGGATGGCCTACAGAGTTTCCTCCCTCTGTCATAGGAAAACCCGGTTACCATATCAGTGGATGCCCGGGCTTTCTCTTCCAGTGCCTGCCTTCTGAGAACTGACTCTCAGGCATCCTGCACACTCTTCCTTCCCCCTTCCTCTCCACCATTTGAGATCCCCCCCTCAAGTCTGAGGTTCTCTCTAAGCCGTCCCTGCTCCTCGATCGTGGACACTACGTGACCCAGATCATTTCCTCCCTGGTGCGTCTCCCCGTAGATGCGGAACTGAGCTTCCTAGCTGCTCCTGTGGATCTGACCTGGAAACACCAGATGCTCTCCTGGGTTGGAAGATGGAGACACTTATGTCTGCCTGAGTACATTAGACAAAACAAACTGAATGTGGATTTCCTGCCTGTCAGTGCTGCTGGGAGCTCAGCCTTCAGTGACTTAGTACGTAAAATGAGATCTGAAATATTTCTTTCCACTTCAATACTTCTCTTAGCCACTTTTTGGTTTTTAACATAGAGCAAATCTCAATGAAAGAAGACGGTAACAAGAACAAATGAAAGCCTATGTGAAGAAGCAGCAGACACAAATGACTTCCGGTACCTGGCTGTTCACTTTGCCCTTCTTCTGAAGCAGCTCATCAACCCCAGATGCTGAGTCTTCTAACAACGGCACAACCCCATTCTCCAAAGTCAGGGAACTTTGCCTCAGCTCATCCAGTGCTTTGGATTTCACTGCAAGCTGGTTTTCTATATCCTAGAGGTCAAAACGAAAAGACTTTCAGCAATGAGGTATAAGAAAGCATAATTAACTCTTTTCAAGTAAATAAAAAAAGCCACTGGAGCATATAGTTAAATAGAATCAAAGATATTTTATTCATAATATAGCTTTTATAAAAGTTTTCTTGATCTATTTTTATTTTTAATGTATATGAATGTTTTGCCTGCCTATAAATGCATCCTGTGCATTCAGTGCCTATAGAGGCCAGAAAAATGCACTAGATCTTCTGAAACTGGAGTTAAAGATGGTTGCTAGCTGCCAGTGGGTGCTGAGACCCGAACCCGGGTCCTCTGCAAGAGCAGCCAGTGCTCTTAATTGCTGAGTCAGCTCTCCAGCTCCCATACTACACTTTTTGAGATGGGCTCTTGCTATGTTGCCCAGACTGGCTTCAAGCTCCTGATCCTCCTGCCTCAGCCACTACCATCATAATATCAGAGAAAGAATCCAAGACAGCTGTTTTTTGTTACATATCTGCTTGTGCTGAACTGTATGTGTCAAGTTATCAAACTGCCCTATTTCCTCAGACCAGATTTGGAGTGGCTTTTATGAATGACTTAATGGATGAAGAGGTAAAATAGGCAAGCTATTGCTGACTGAAATACGAGTAACTACACTTGCTGCCATGCACGAACTGCAACATACACAATAATAACAGGGGGCTGGAGAGATGGCTCAGTGGTTAAAAGCACTGGCTGCTCTTGCAGAGGACCTGGGTTGGGTTCCCAGCACCCACATGACAGGTAATAACCATCCTTCACTCCAATTCTAGGGGATCTGATGCCCTCTTCTGTCCTCCACAGGCAATGCACATACAGAGTGCACTTATAAGCTGGCAAAACACTCATATACATAAAATAAAAAATATTGAATCACTGTCCTTCAAATTTATCATAATCTTCCATAGAAGTTCACTTAACTATAGATTTCTAAAAACTACCAATGGTGCACACCTTTAATCCCAGCATTAGGAGGCAGAGGCAGGTGGATCTCTGAGTTCAAGGCCAGCCTGGTCTATGTAGCGAGTTCCAGGCCACGGAGACCCTGTCTGGAAAAACAAAAACAAAAACAAAAAAAACCCCATCACCACCAAAACAAACAAACAAAAACCAAAAACCAACCCACTAAGTTGTCATATTTTTTCTACAGTACAAGGACAGCTTTTAAAAGGACTATTTAGCAGGGAGTTAGAAGGAAATAAAACACACACACACACACACACACACACACACACACACACACACACACACACACAAAGGCAGTGTAAATAAGCCTACAGTATTAGTCCATGTACCTCTCTCCCCACAAATGAACTGTTCTTGTATCTTATTCCTTCAGAATAACACAGATTTGGCCCAGTGGCCCTGTAGTCTGGCATTGCCACACTGAGGACCATCTGTGCTTTTCAAGTGAGCCTGCTCCCAACTTACTGGTAAATTAGTTCATCTTACTTCAAATTCTGATCTGTTGCACTTAAAATTATGTGGAGTCAAGAAATCTGCTAGTTACAGAGCTTCACTAGAATCTTGCTTTGCTTTCATCTACTGTGTGGGAAATCATGTTAAATACTGTGTAAATATCCCAATTCTGGCTGGAGAGATGCTTGGCAGTTAAGAGCAGATACTGCTCCTGCAAAGGCCCTAAGTTTGATTCTTAGCCACCAATATGGGGAGGCTCACAGCTATCTGCAACTGTAGCTCTGGGGAATCCAACATCTCTGTCCTCCTTGGGCTCTAGAACTCATGTACACAGACCTACACACATACATGTAAATTTTTAAAATCCCAGATACACCTCAACTATGCTGTTTATACTTAGTGTATCAAACCTATGGTATAATAATCTCATCTCCAACTTCTGCATGCTAGCCAACTACTCTTTTCTTTGATAACTTCATTGAACAACCTCATTGTTTTGTTGTTGGGTAATTAGTTTTGACTACAGATGATATATATATATATATATATATATATATTTTTTTTTTGTAGTACTGAGACTAGCACCCAGGACTAAGTACCTTACCTCTGAGCTATTTCCTTAGCTTTGGGATTTGTTTAATAACAGCTTGGTGGCAAAATTGGGGAGATGGGTGAGAGAGCTAAAATGAATCTACTTCAAGCCTGTTTAGAGGCCTAGTGCTAACTAAATGAAACAAACAAGTGGACTGAGTTTATGGGACAGGAGAGATGGCACAGTCGTTAAGAGCACTGGCTGCTCTTGCAGAGGACCCAGGTTTGATTCCCAGCATCTACATGGCTGCTAACAATCATTTGTAATTCCAGTTCCAGAGGATCTAACGCTCTCTTCTGACCTTCATGGGCATTGCATGACACAGGAGCACTTACATACATGCAGGTGATACACTCATACACATAAAATAAAAATAATAAAATATTTTTTGAAAAGACTGATGTTTATGACTTGTTTAGGTTAGGCCTATTTGCTGAGAAGTCCAGAGGGAATTCTAAGACATTTGAACGTCACTCTAAGGACAATACAGGAGGAATGATTTTTCAGAGTGTGTGTGTGTGTGTGTGTGTGTGTGTGTGTATATGACCTTTTTTTTTTTTTTTTTTTTTTGGTCTTTTTGAGACAGGGTCTCCCTGTAGCTGGCCTGAAACTTGCTATAACCAGGCTGGCCTGGAATTCACGGAGATCTGCCTGCCTCTGCCTCCCGAGTGCTGGGGCTAAAGGTGTGTGCCACCACACCCTGCATCTATGACCTTTTCTATTTCAGAAGCATCACTCAGGGCAATGTGGAGAATGAAACATGTAAACAGAGATGAGGCCAGAGGCTGGAGGGAAGGCTGTGCAGTGAGATGGGCCTGGGTTAAGTTGAGTGAGGTCCTTCAAGTTTGGGCTGAGGACTAACTAGAAAGGAAGGAGAAACTGAGAAGACCTAATGTGTGCCCAAAGGGAGAGGTGAGGATGAAAGCCACTCATGGGCCTCTGAGAAGGATGGTCAGCAGTGAGCCAAGAGAAGCAAGCTTCCCACAGAAGATACTGAGTGTCAGGAGACTACGGGAACGCTAAAGCGGAGATGGAGAGTGGGGAGTAGAAATGGTAATAGGTGGCCACTGCAGCGGGAATCTTAGATGCTGATCTTCTCACTTGCTTTTACTTTATGTCCAGTGTGGTCCTGTAACCTCAGTGGGACATGATTTTGACCCAGCCCTGACAGTGATTGATGGGATGCTTTGACACAGCAAGGGCAGAAGCAGCACTTGAGCCCTTCTCTGCTGCCATGGTGACAATGCACATGTGACTGGGGTGTGACCAGCCTGGGCCCCATTTAGAGAGGATCTGTCCACATGTGAGAGAGTTTCAAGGACTGTGTGACCTGGTCAATGGACAACACCCTTACACCCAAGTATGACTTAGATGCTGGTTCCAAAGGACAAGTGGTCCTTCTAAAAGACAGGACACAAGTGGTGGAAGAAAATTATCTTCTCTGGTAAAACACGGAACAAAATGTTAATAATAATGCAAAACTTTGTATGATTTTTGTCACTATTGGGCAAAATAATAAACGCAGATGAAAAGCTTATAAGTCAAAATTCCCAAGAATGGTTCTTTTCCTCAGAAGTAATATTAAAACCGCTTAAAAGCAATAATGACATGAAAATACCTTCTTGTGATCATAATTTTTAAAAATGTCACTTTGTGACTATTTGAAAAATCCATGGAGCCTTATCTAATTTACATGCGCAAGAAAGTGCAGTCATGCACCACACAGCTTAGATGTATAGTAGGTGACCACGTAGGCTTGTAAAGTGCAGTCTGGTACACAGAACACTGACTACATAGCTCTCAGATGTACCTCCGTCACTAAGCAACACATGACTATTACCAAGGCAGGCCGTGCATAGGACACTGCCCCCTTCGCACCTGAAACTACAGCAAGTCTCTTCTTCCCAGGGCAAATGTGGGCACTCTGTAGTCCAGGTATGCCGTGCACAGGATGCTGCCCCCTCCTTACCTGACAGTCCAGGAGCAGCTTCTCTACGGAGATCACACTCTCAGGGTTTTGTAGCGTTTTCAGCCTCTCTTCTTGTGCCTCCAGCCAGTTTTTCAAATTTTGTATTTTGTTTTCATTTTCAGTGATACTTTCCAGAAGTTGTTCTACATGTTGGATCTATTAAATGATAAACAAAAATATTAGGAAGGAAATAAGAAAATTTTCTTGTTTTCAGCCCTGTGCTTAAAAATGTAAATAGCATTTAGATTCTTTTTTTTTCCCCATAACATCTGTATCCTTTTGAAATTTTAATATTTTACATAATAAAGTGCACCGGTCATTTTGGACTAATGATTTGTAAGTCAGGAAATAAGATTGAAATTCCTCCATAAAAAGTCTGACATTTAAAGTAAATGCTAATCTGTTGAGATAGCCAAGTGCTTGGGAGTTTCATAACAGATATCAAATAAAACCATGCTTCAAACATTCAATAATTTTCTATTGTAGACTTTATTAATATTTGTTTGGTTTAAGGAAATTTTCTTTGTTCTAGACTCTCTAAGCTCCAGCTGCTTAATAATTTCTTGATAGACACCCACATGCCAACAATGATCAATATACCAATTTAACAAAATAATCTATTTTAAATTATGATTCCTAGTTTTTAATTAAAAAATTTTTATTTTATGTGCATAAGTGTTTGACTTGTATGTATGGAAGTATGCCACATGTGTGCAATGCCTACAGAGGCCAGAAGAGGGCATTGGATCTCCTGAAATTGGAGTTATGGATGGTTGTTGGTTGCCATGTAGGTGCTGGGAACTGAACCTGGGTCCTATGCAAGAGCAGCCAGGGCTCTTAACCGATGAACCATCTCTCCAGCCCCTCATTTGAATCTTAATTGAATAAATCCATTTGAATGTATTCTTTACACAGAAAAGAGATCCAATATTTGTCACTATCAACATTAAATACTTTTTCCATGAATAATTTTTCTTTATTTCTTTCAAGGATCTTGCATTGGAAATAAGCAACCTGCGCTGTTTTTTTTTTTTTTTGCCCCCACAATCATCTCAAAGCTGAAACAGCTTTGTCCCCTTTGATCAGACTCTGACTTCAGCTATGGGTGGTTGTGGGCTACCTGTAACGCCAAGGGTCTCTGCATGTGCACACCCCACATGAATACATATAACTTAAAAATTAAAATTGATATGAAAAAATGCATCCTTTTCACTTGCCTAACTCCATTTCCCAAAGAAATCTCATAAAAATATGAGAATTATTTTTATCCTCTGTTATATATACACATAGACCAGTGTACTTTATTAGAAAAAAGGGCTGTAATTGAGGTGGTTAGGAGGCTCAACTGTGAATCAATTTTCTGAATATCTTTTAGGATTCTCCAACAAGTGGCATTCCACAAGGACAAAACCATGCCTCCAAGTGCAACCTGGGACATACCTTTCTGTTCAGGGTTCCATGCACTTGGTGCCATTGACGGTTCATCTCCCCCAAGTGCTCTGCAAACTCCGTCCTTTCATAGCGTTTGCTTTCTACATCACAGGTGCTTAGCTGAAGCAGTGACTGGTTAACAAAGTCAACTATCCACTGTTTGTAGTCCATTTCCATTCTAAACTCCTAAAAACACACAAACAAGCAAAATTAAACACCAAGGTTAGAATGGAAGTCCAGTAGATAAACTGGACTTTTCCCTTGGCTGAACTCTAGGGGGCACCAAGCTCCTATCCATTAATCCCTGTCAGGAGGTACCTCCCACTCTCCCTGCCTTCCATGGCCATTCTTTTGCGGAAAATTAGGAACAGCATGGCTCCCTGCCTTCAAATACAGTAGACAGTCCAAGGGTACACCATGTAATGGTAGCTACTGTCACCTAGAGGGCTAGCAAGACCCAGGTCTGACAAAGGGGTCCTGTGAGAGGTTGCCTGAGATCTTCGTGAGATTCTGGGCCTCCCTGAGGACCAGAAATAAGAGAAAACAGAAGAGAAGGGTCTGTCACAGAACTCAGGACACATTCAAGGACTCTTGCCAATTTAGGTAGCTGTTCTGTTCCTGGGGGACAGAGACTTCCTAGGGCAATTTAAATGACTTTGACAGTGTTCCTAAACCTACCCAGGCTATTTCTGTCAAGCCTGCCACTTGTTGGGTTTTATCCAGGAAAGTTCTAGCACTTCTAATGAAGACATCCAAGGGGAACCACGTGAAACTGTAGCCTATGTAGACCTTTCAGGGATTCTATCAGGTTAGGATATGATGATATATAAAATCATAATCTTCTGCTAATATCATACTTGGTCATTAAGTTGTTCATCTGCCTGTGAGAGACTAGCTTCATCAGCCTGCAAGGTCTTTAAAGTAATGCCCAGACTCCTCACTAATCTGGCTAGCATGCTGCCTGGCACACAACAGATATTTGTGCCTGTTATGTATTAATTAAACCTACTCAAAATTAAATATCATGGAGGTGGCCACATTCATATCTATTGTAGAAGGATGTCAGCTTATTCTTCCTCATTCATTTACTCATGAACATTTATTTTTTTAAATTTGTTTTTATTGAATCTTTTGTGTATTTCATACAGAATATCTCAAACAATCTTAATCTTTATACCCCTGCCCCCACCAGCATCATTCCATAGCACCCCAACTGGAACCCATACACTCTTATCATCTGTGTTAAGGCCCACTGTGTCAAGTCAGTGTCCCCAGATGTTCCCCAGTGCAAGTCCATCTAATGAGGTCTAGTCGGCCTACCCAGAGTCCTTAGTTTTAGGAAGATCAGTTCTTCCTCACTTAGCAGTAATCAGTTGCCAATATTTTTTCAGCTAAGATTGGGGCCTGCTGTTCATTTCCCCAATTTTATGCTGGGTTTTTGTCTGCCTGAGTTTGCATGGGACTTCTGTACACTGATCCCATTGCCATAGAATCAAATGAGCAGGGTCCCAGGAGCTTGTAGGACCTATCCATATGGCCATGCACCTCCTTCCTGGCTCTTATAATCTTTCTGCCCCCTCTTCTGCAATGCTCCCTGAGCCCTGGGTGGGTGAAGTTTAATATAGGAGTCCTGTCCAAGGACTAGCATTCTGCACACTCTTAATCTCTATGTTTTGGCCATTTGTGACCTTTTGTGTTCCTGGGCCTCTGTTGCATGAGGGAGATTCATTGATGAGAATTGAGAGATTAAGTAGTGTCCTCTTCTTTACCCCGTTCTATGTTCCGTGTGCCTTAGGTGTAGAGGATGCATTGTAAATGTGTGACTTAGGCCTGGGCAATTCACAGACAATGTATGTGACCAGTTGTGGTACTTGGTAATAGTCTCTTACTGGTGCAAAATAAACTTCTTTGATGAGTAGTAACTGGGATATTTGTCTGTAATGAACATTTATTGATAACCATCAAAGGCCAGCTATTGGGCTGGTATGGTTCTTTTTCAGGTGAGAAGCTCAATCAACAGGGATATAGATAAGTAAACAAATGGTGGTCATCATACAATATGACAGGGGCTAGAAACAGAGTCACAGTTTCATCAAGTCCAGCAAAGTCATCTAATTTACCAGGGGGGCCTAGGGTGGAATAGTCAATGAGGATACATTGTTGAAGGGTGTGTCAATGGAAGTGCCATTTCAGGCAGAAGCTGCAGCACACTGTACAAGGAGAAAGCACAAAGGATCAAAACTGGGTTCAGTGTTTATGCGGGGAGTGAAAAGAGGAGGCTGGGGATTAAGGCCATTAAAATTTGTACTGTGCTCTCTAGAACCACCACCCCTCTCCCTATCCCCCAAATCAGTTTCTCTTGATTATATCCACATGTCTCTTGTTCAGCATTTCTCCTCTAAATGATTTGCTTTCTTATGTAGCAAGACAACTTCAGTTCCTTCTGTAGCATTACCTTGAGTTTCATCAGAAGATTTTTCACTTCAGATGAAGACCTGGGCGAGAGCTCAGAGTTTTCGCCTGCTTGCGGCTCCACAGTGTTCATCCAGCTGATGGTTTCAGTGATGGCTTTACGGGACGGCAACTTCTCCATCTGAAGCTGCAAAGATAAATTTCCATTTAATTACCTACAGTTAACCAAAAGAACCAGGGCATCACTAATGATGATGTTTGGTTTGATAAAAGGTCCTGCTATGTGATTATACAAGTTACCCACAAAAACAAACCTGGCATTCAAGCTTAGAATCAGTGACTGTCCCCCCTACAACAATTAAAGACCTTCACGTAAACCAATGCAGTAGCACAAAGACACCAAGAAATAAAGTAATTAAGCTTGATTTCTCTACTAAGAAAGATCTGATTGGAGGAGAGCCCAGTAATTAAGACCTACATTCAGTGGTACTGGGGAAAAATAGGTAAGTGTCAAAGAAAATTATTGACTTGGACAGATAATTTTAAAAGAGTTGTGAGCTAACAAGTGGATGCTAATTTAAATGCTCGATATTTAAACACTTACCTGGTGAAGTTTCTCTTGAATGTCTGGAAGCTGAGTTATGAGCATTGTCCATTTTTGTTCAAATTGTGCTAATGAGGCTCTCAGCGTGGCCGTATCTGCCTCTTTCAGGTGAAGAAGTTGGTTCCCAGTGCTCAACACTGCAGACTTCAGAGATGACTTTTCATCAACTTCCTTTGAAAATTCCTAAAGGAAAGAGTTCAAGATTAGAGACTTATAAAAGTTAAGTATAGTCAGAAAAACTGTTTAAGAATGCAAAATCGAATATAATAAATGCATCTGTATACACACACACACACACACACACACACACACACACACACACACACCTTTGCTTACTGAGTGTCAGGTGCCACTCCAGGCATCACACTGGAGAATGAAATAGATGGATCTCTGGCCCCCTTTGACACAGGGGAATTTATAATTTTAAAAATAGACAAGACATGGTAAATTTTATAAGAAACTTGGAATCCAAGACCCAACAGATATTAAATAAATTGCAACAAATTTTTAAATAAAATATTTGAACTCTTTCAAAATATAAGTATACATAAGCATAGGTTCTTCCAAGTGCACTTAAAAAACATTTTAATATCAAAGTGAGTAGTCATAGCTACTCACAGCTATAAAATGGAACAAAGTAAAGACTAAGGGAAACAATGTCATATGTACTTGAAATTAATATATGTACATACATATTTGTATATTTTTCTGTGCTTTGGGGGCGGAATTTGAACCTCAGTGCCTGTATTCATTAGGAGAGTGCTCTAACAGCTACTTCCCTGGCCATTAAATTCATTTTATATTATAAAAGTCTTTCATTTTTATTTTTTATACTTTTTGAGACAGGGTCTCCCTGCAGCCCCAGTTGGCCTGGAACTCACTATATAGACCAGGTTGGCCTTTTGAACTCACAGAGATCTGCCCACCTCTGCCTTCTGAGTGCTGGGATTAAAGGCATGCACCACCATGCCCAGCTAATAATTGTCTTAAAAAAATCAAAATAATAAAATTGTGAATACAAAATTCTCACAATAACTTAAAACCATGTATTTGTTAATTTTATGAATTATCTTATGAATTAATATTTCTATAAGGTCGTTTTGGGGTAGCTTTTAAAATACTTTAATATGAGCCAGATGTGGTGGCACGTGCCTATAATTAATTAGACAGGCAGATCTCCGTAAGATTGAGGCCAGCCTGGTATACATAGTAAATTCTAGGCCAGCTGGGGTTATAGGAAGATCCTATCTCAAAAAGACCATTCCCCAAAAAGTGTATATGTTTGTCTGCGTGTGGGTTTGTGCATGTAAGTGCAGTACCCATAGAGGCCAGAAGAAGGCATCAAATCCTCCTGGAGCAGGCAGTTACTGAGCCACCCAAAATGAGTGCTGGAAATCAAACTTGGGTCCTCTGGAGTACATGCTGTGCCATTTCTCCAGCCCCAGTGGCTATTTTTTATTATTTATAAAATATGCCCCATGTTAAAACAAAATTTAAATTTACATATATACTGTAGGATCAATTAGTTTTATAAGCAAATAGTTCTAGGTTTGAAGAACCCAGCTGCAGTGGCTCAGGGCTCACCCCTAACCCACAAATGGAGATGGGAACTCACAACACTCAATACTTTTCTCTTGATATTTATTGTTTTTGTTTTAGTTTCTTCTTGGATAGGGTCTCCCTTGTCCCAGCCCCCTTGGAATTCACTATATAGACTAGGCTGGCCTCCATCTCATAGAGATCCACCTGCCTCTGCCTCTCAACAAATGGAATTAAAGGCAAGTATTACCATACCTGGCATTTGATATTTATTTTTGACCAATAATTATCTGAGCATATTATATTGCAACTTACAAAAAACTTGTTTATGTTGCTTCTGATTGTATCCAGGTCCTGAGACACATTGAGGGACTGTTCCTTCCAGTAATTCAAAGTTTGCTGAGAAGATCCCAACCACGTGGTCAATTCCTCTGAATCTCTGTTATAACTAATGGGAACAAAGAGAGAAATTAGAAATGTACTCTGGGAAGACATGCCCACCAGGGCACAGTTTCCTGAATTTTACGTACATTTTCTTGACCAGTGCTATTGTTGAGAAACTCGTGGCAGATGAGTATTCTGTCATGCTTTATTCTGGACCCCAAGCCCAGTGGTTTTCCCACTTCCTAAGACTCTCTCCATTAGGGATAAGAAGAAAGAAGCTTATTTATTTACTTATTATTATAGTTAAAATATTTTATTTATTATTTTTATTTTATGTGTATGAGTGTATTGCTTGCATGTATGCAAGTGCACCTGTGTCATGCAATGCCCATGGAGGTCAGAAGAGGACGTTGGATTCCCCTGAAAATGGGGTTACAGACAGTTGTTAGCTGTTATGTGAGTTCTGGGTATTGAACCAGGGTCCTCTGCAAGAGCAGGCAGTGCTCTTAACCACTGAATCATCTCTCCAGTCCTAGAAGAAGCATTTTTAGAAATATTAATTATTTTTATTTTATGTGTATGCGTGTATTGCCTGCGTGTAGGTAAATGCCCCCGTGTTGTGCAATGCCTGTGGAGGACAAAAGAAGCTGTTGGATCCCCTGAAACTGGAGTAACGGACAGTTGCTAGCTGCCATGTGGGTGCTGAGATTCAAACCCGGGTCTTCTTCAAGAACAACCAGTGTTCTTAACTGCTGAGCCATCTCTCAAACATTTTAAATGTACAAAGCATTCTTTTAACATTTCTTACAGCTACATCAAAGTATACCCAACAATCAGGACAGAGATAAGTTTTGTTCATAAATGTCCTCTAGTAATTTGTTCACAGTAAAAATATAACTAGTTTTGTATATACTGCATAACAGCACTTTGCTACTGGCTGAATGCTAACATATTATCGTACATGATGAAAATACCCAAGCAAACACCATCTTTCTTCTAACTTGTCAACTTGTTTAGGTCAGGCAGCCCTGCCTCTGGGAGGCAGGGATGACAATGAAGTTTAAACATTCTCTGTTTTCTCCATCATCTTTGAATGGGTTAAGGTTATACCAAGTGAACACAACAAATTCTCTGAAGAATTCAGAAGACTTTTTCAAAGCATTGTATAAGCCCAAATCATTAAATCTAAATCTTTTAAATCTAAAAATGTTAGGAAGCAGATAGCAAAATTACAACATCCTGGTATAAAGGTAACAAGTTATCACAACATAACTCCTCCTAATGTTCTTAGAAATGTAGAAAATTGTTCCCCAGCAAACTGACTGCATATCATTCTGAGTTTAGCAAACTGAGATCAGAAGTGAGCAGACTAGAACCTCTTTAGCCCAGAAAGGGATGTGACTGCTACATGCAATCAGGGAGAACGTGGTACAATGTGGGGACCATGCACCACTAAGGTGACAGCAGAACCCTTCTGCTTCCACTACAGCAAAATTTACAGCTGATCATTCTTGAAGAAGGCATACCTGATCAGGTGCTTAAGAAGCGTCTGCAGCCTGTGGAGCTCATGGTCAATCTTCTTATTTAGGGACAACCACTGCTCTTCCAGCTTCATGATCTGGCCTTCTAGCTCGGGACAGCTCACCGATGCTGCCAGCTGCTTTCCGTCATTGAGGGTTTGGCAAAGCCTGGCATGCTTTCCATCAATGTTTCTTTTTATTTGCTAAAAGAAAATCACAGAATGAATTATTTTTAAAAAGCAAAATCTGTCAATCACATTTTTTTCTTTTCAAAAAGACAGGGTCTTTCCATGTAGTCCAAGCAGACCTGGAAACTCACCACATAGCCCATGCTGGCCTTGAACTTGTGATACTCCTGTCTCAGCCTCCCAAATTCTGAGACTGTAGGTATATATCATCACAACTGGACATGATGCTGTATATGATGGTGCATGCCTGTAATCCCAGCACCCAGAGGGTAGAGGCAAGAGGATCAGGAGTTAGAGGCAACATTCAGGGGTAGGTATGACATTGTGATGCCATTATCATTTATAAATGTGTTGGGCCTCATTCATAGGGATGCATGACCCATGGACTCAAAGGCTGGACATTCCTGGGTCCTACATAGTAAGTTCAAGACCAGTCTGGGCTCTGAGAAACTCTGTCTCAGAAAAAAAAGTATGTTATAGGCTACTAAAGAAAGCCTCACACCTTCTCCACACTCAAGTCTTTACTCTGGCTGAACAGGCATAACTATCAGCGTGCTGATAACTTTTATGCAACAGCCTGATTAATATATTTTACTATCTAGACTTAATGCATCTAAAAGAAGAAACTGAGGGGCCAGTAAGATGGCTCAGTGGCTAAAGGACTTGTCATCAAGCCTGACGACCTGAGCTTGCTCCCCAGGACTCACACAGTGGAGGAAGAAAACTGAGTCGTCCACTGGCACTTGCATGCCCACACACATATACACATGCACGCATACCCACTAAATAAATGTAATAAAATTCAAAAAAGTAAACACAAAATTCATAAGATTTAGATCTGATCATTAATTCCTATAATCAAAAAACGAAAAGAGGAAAACAAGCTGGAGGTTTATAGGCTGTATTCAGCTTGCTGACAGGTTTTTCTTCTCTTTCTTTTTCCTCCCTGCCCTCCTCCCCTAGACAGCATCTTGTAACGTTGCCCAAGCTTCAAGCACCTGAACTAAGGGATCTGTCTGCTTCAGAATACTGAGTGGGGGGCCACAGGCATGCTCTACCATTCCAGGTTTCAGACAGGTTTCGTTTGACCTAAAAATTATTTTGAAAATCAGAAAATTTTAGATAAAAATGGCACAAAATATAGAAATCAGGATTTCCAGTGTCTCTGGGAAACTTGGAAGGTCTGTCAGCTGTGGCTCTGGATGCTCGTGTGCATGGACCTCTGCTGAAGGACCTGCTCTCCTTTTAGTTCTCCCACATCAGTCCCCACTCTTAAGCAGAGTTTTGCAGACTGAGACTTAGAAATGAAGGGATAAATAAGAAGATAACTTTATCTAATGTCCGTAAGACATACATGCCAGGCTGAAAAGTTATTTCTACATTCTTCTGAATATAAAAATCAATAGGGAAAAAGAACTTTAGGATCAATTAAAACATATGAATAAGCCAACTTCAGGAAAAAAATAGAATTCCTCAAAACTGCTAATGCAATGAGCCACTGAAGAGAACACTGCCTGATAGCAATTATCTCCACAGCTTGGTTCAGCTAATGCCACTTACCTGGAAGCTTCTTAATCTTTAAAAATAAATTATCAAAATAGAACTTTTACTATTTTCCAATTAAGACAATTTTTTAATTAAAAAAAATCAACTTCTAGCTCTTGTATTACCACCCCCTTCCCTTCCCTGGCTGAACCTACAGGCTAGATAAAATGTCCAACATTAATTAAAAAATGAGTTGTAATTTTCTAAGCCTTAACTATTTGATACTTCATTACAATAGCTCTGAGAAGTTCTTTTGCTGTGTTCTTTATGTACATGTGTCTATATAGTGCATATAGATTATATGTATCATAGGTAAATATATTACCATCTATTCTTTTATTTTGGGGGGGCGGTGGGAGAAGGTCTCATGCTGACCAGGTTGGTCTTGAACTCACTATGTAGGCAAGAATGACCCTAAGCTTCTGATCTTCCTGCCTCTGCCTTCTGAATGCTAGGACTACAGGCATGCACCACCACGCCTGGTTTTTGCTGTTAGGAGTCAGATCTGGGGCTTTACAATGCTAGGCAAACACCCTACCAACTGTGCTACATGCCTAGACTACTCAGAGGGGAGGGAGTGCTGTGAAATGCTCTCCTTGGGTCATGACATGGTTGTTGCACACATGAATTCACAGCAGCCATGGTTACCTGCATAAGACCTGCATAAGGTTCAGTTAGTTAAAAATGTCAGCATGGGGCTGGAGTGATGGCTCAGTGGTTAAGAGAGCTTACTGTTCTAACAGAAGACCAGAGTTCCCTTCTCAACACCCACATCAGTTGGCTAACAGCAGCCCATAACTCCAGCTCCAGGAATGTGATGCTTTCTTCTGGCTTCTTCAGACACTGTGCTCACTTGCACAGTCCCCCGCCCCACGTGTGTGTGTGTGTGTATAATTAAAATAAATTATATGTAAATATATACATATATAATTAAAAATAAAAATAGTGCTCACCTTTAATCTTGGCACTCAGAAGACAGAGGCAGGTCGATCTCTCTGCCTATGTAGCCAGCCTGGTCTACATAGTTCTAGGCTAGTCAGAGCTATATAATAAGACCATGTCTCAAAATCAATCAATAAAAAAAATTTTTTTTTTTGGTTTTTTTGAGACAGGGTCTCCCTGTAGCCACGGCTGGCCTGGATTGACTATGGAGACCAGGCTGGCCTTGAACTCACAGAGATCCACCTACCTGTGCCTCCCAAGTGCTGGGACTAAAGACATGTGCCACCACGCCCAGCTAAAAACTATTTTTTTAAAATTTCAGCATGGAGTTGGGAGGGGCTCCTATGGCTCTACCCTAACTGAGGAGATATTGGCAAGTTGATGGCTTCTGAGGGAGGGAGAGTTGTTTTGTAAAAGGAGAACATGAAGGTGGAAGGGAGATATATTGGTGGGGGAGGGGGAGAATTGGAGGGAAGGAGGAGGGGTGGAAATGATTAATATGCATTGTATACATTTATGAAATTTTCAAAGAATAACAAAAGAAACTGGCATCTACAGGCAAGAAGGCTTCAGGCTGATAACTGATAGATCCAGGACCAAATCAAGGTCTTCAACCCCAATCCAGACACAGGGCTCTGCTGAAGCGCTCACTGTCAAATCCACAGTCCTGAATATACTCATGAGTGAGGGATGCAATAGATGTTGAGTTTTGATTCAAATCAAGCAGCTTCAGTCAGCACACCACACAAGGCATGGTAGACCAGGCCTCTGGTAAGTTAACAGGTGAATACCTGGTAAAGGGAAATCCTTTCCAGCAATCTCTCCTCTGTCTCTTCCACCAAACTCACAGAGGGCAACGAAGACACGAGAACTTCCAGGTCCTTCTCAAGAGAAGCGTAGTTTTCATCAAATTCTTCCCATTTCTAGAGGGTCAACAACAGGAATCAGTTCCAGACAGTGATGATCGTGAAGACAAAAATGAACAGCAAGACCAGAAGAAACCGAAACAGACACCAGGTACACCGAGAAGGTTACAGGACACCAGGAAGAGCTCCACATCTAGTGGGAAATACTCCCATTGCTTTGGAAGAGGTTTTTTAAAAATCCCATTGGCATTAGTAGTTTGCTTGTTTGCAGAGCTGGGATCAAAACCAGGGTCACACATCCGGGTTAAATGCTGTGCCCCTGAGATATACCTCCTGACCAGCCATAGTGTTTTGTGCTGGCATTTGAAACTGGGTAATAGGATTAAGAGAACAGCACAACTGAGCTAAAGTGATGCTCTAAGCACCACTGTAAATACCTCACAATGTAAGAGAGCTCTTTTCGATTTGGAAAAGCAAAGCACTAGCTTTGAAAACCTTTGGCAGCAGAAGTTGCTATCAGGCTGTTCCTGGCCCATGACACAATCCCAAACCTAGTGAAAGTTATTCTATCACTCTCCCTGAAGGCCAACCTGAGCTCATGGGTGGTGGCAGTGGGCATGGGCTGGTGTACACACACATACACACACACACACACACACACACACACGCACGAGATTATCCCTTTACCCTAAGTGTTACCTTGAAGCCCACTGGCTACAGTTCCTACAACTAAACAACTAACTTACTGACACTAAGCACTGTCTCTTAGAAAAATTACCACCTTAATAATTATCTTGTCTATTCAAATATTCTAATAGCAGTCACCTGTCTTACATGACACTCATTGGGTCCATGAAGCCTGCTTCTCTCTATCCCTCCCCTCTATCCCCCCACCTCTCCCTTTTCCTCTCCCTCTCTCTCTCCCCCTCTCTTCAAGGTCTCACTATGTAGACCAGGCTGGCCTGGAACTCAGAGATCTACCTGCCTCTGCTTCCTGAGTGCCTGGATTAAAGATGTGCACCACCACGCCTACTCCATGAAGCCTTTTTAAAATTACCATATTATAAAAATATCAGACACCGTAGGCAGAAAAATAGTGTCAGCATAAAATAATACATTTATAACATTAGCAAGTTGAGTATTTCCATCCTTTAAAAAATTTCCTTTATGCATGAATATGGCTGTGAAGGGTTTAGTAAGTTAGAGGGGAACGCTTGAATTGAGACAGGACTGTCATGAACATATCTTTGCAACAGGACACCCGAGTCCAATAACTCTTAAAGGGGTCTACACGATGAACCACAAACTGCTTCACCCAAATAATCTCATGTGATTGAGAGATGCTGCCAATGCCGTCCATTTACACACAAACCCACAAAGGAGAAAGGGGCCACTGACTCAGATTTAGGTATCACAAGTCCCAGCTGACACTGCCTGCTGGGAGGAGCCATAGCTAGCCCCGGTCCACCTTCTCACGGTGTGTTCCCATTTACTAAGTGCATCTTCACAATGCACCTGCTTTCTATGCCTGGAGGCCAAGGGTAGAGGAAATCAGGAAGTCCTGCTGAGGACAGAGTTCATAGAGGCGAATACCTGTAACAAGCTCTGCAGCTGCGTGCCATGCAGACAGGCCTTTTCTTCCAGGGACTTCACTTCTGCTACCTGTTCTGCCCAAAATCTCTCTCTCTTTTGTAATGATGAAGGAAACATTTTTGCTGAGTATGTTTGGATCAACAACATGTCAGCAACAAGTTTCTGGAAAAATCCCTGTAACACAGAAAAGATTATTAATATTTATTATTTTTTTTTTGAGACAAGGTCTCCCTGTAGCCCCCAGCTGGCCTGAAACTTGCTATGTAGACCAGGCTGGCCTCGATGTCACAGAGATCTGCCTGCCTCTGCTTCCCAAGTGCTTGGATTAAAGGTACATGCCACAACACCTGGAAATATTTATTTTTGAATTACAAAATTATAAAAGTTATTTGAACTTTCAATTTAGGTTTTCCCTCACCCTGCGTCCAGTACTGAGGCCCGACACATGCTAGGCAAGGGCTCTACTACTGAGATATATTCCCAACCCTCTTTTTACTTCTTATTTTCAGACAGTCTTGCTAAATTACCAGGTCAAATCTTGAACTTGTGATCCTCCTGTTTTAGCCTTTCAAGTACAGAGGATGATAGGCCTGTGCCACCAAGCCTATTTTAACTTTGTTTTTAAATCCCTATTCCTAGGAGGTCAGAATAGGGTCAAATGTATAAGTAAATGACTCTCTTGGTCTTTGAAAAATGAATGGAATTTTAACAAATTATAAAAAAATATTATCCTTAAGTAATATTTCCACAAAATTCTCTATTTTAAGCAGAAGTCATTATTGTCTATTTCAATTTCTACCTAGATCTTTCTAAAGCAATTGTTTTGATTTTTAGAATGTTAGAGGAAGGCTGATGAATTTGGAGACCGTCTGTCTTCAAATGATACCGCAGTGTGTGACCCCGAGCAGCCCACAGGCAGCAGACCAGCTCCCTGTCTTCTACTTTACTGCTGCATAACAAAACTGCCAAGTGAAGGGAATTCACTAGTGGGGCTGACTGGGATCCTAGTCCACCACACTTGGACTTCAAGCATCCTTAAGGATGGAGGCTCTGCTTCACAGCTGCCTCCTGTAGTTATTTGGAGGGACCCTCTTATTACATGAATCACTTCCCCTACTTCTACACAAAGGGTTTGTAAAAGCGTCAAAGGGCCTGGCACACACTGGCATGCCCAATCTGTGACCCATGGGCTGCATGTGGCTGAAGATAGTTACAAATGCAGCCCAGTACAAAATCCTAAACTTAAAACATATTTTTCTGTGCGCGTGTGTGTGTGTGTGTTTGTGTGTGACTATTGTGTGGTTCTAGAGCATGAACTTTGCAGATGACAACATTGTATCACAATGTCAAAAGGGTGGGCACCCACGTGAAGACATTTGTCTTTTCCCCTGTCCCATTTACGATAGTTAAATTTTCAAAATTTCTTAAAGGTATAGTTATCAAAGGTCTTTTATGAGACTGTGAGCCTCGTAAGCCTTAAACATTTTTTGTTATCAGCACTTAGACTATATACATCTTTAGTTGGTGATCAAGAGAACTTCGTATGATGAAATGAATGAAAAATGGAAGAATTTATCACAGTATTGTACTATCTTCTTTTTGATCCCAGCTCTCAGGAACTCTTTTCCTAACCTCTCTAAATTGATTTCTCCTATTAAATGCTCTCAGAGAATGAATATTAATTTTAATTGTTGATTTGTTTAAAGATCTGTTCCTAAATGTTTTCATTCACAACCCTGTTTCTGGAGGCTCTTGGGTTCTAGCCACACAATAAGCCTAGCAGCAATATATTGAAAAGAAGAATGATTCATATTTATCAAGGAAGGAAGTAGATAACATCTATTCAAACTCAGGAAAACCTGGAGATGTCAGTCCATGAAAGAGGATCTAACCCAAGAAACTATGTATCTTACCTTGTGATCGCGTATTTGAGCCTCTAAAGCGACTTTACTCTTGGCATGCTGTAAGGGGCCGGGAGCAAGCTTCTCTTTTCCAATACTGACTAGCTCCACCATGCCTTGCAATAAGGCATCCTGCTGGCTCTCAGTGAGGAACGGGCCACTGAGTTCCAAGTACCTGGCTCTCAGGATTCCCCACATACTGTCAAGTACATCCTGAAAAGGAAGAGCAGGTGTGCACAAGCATTTTCAACCAAGCAGAAAAATAAATCAAACAACACACTTAAACTCATGGTGGAAGACCCAAATGCCATCCCTTATGCCCATAATGGTGTATGAATGCTTTCTGCCCAAGCATACCTCTAACTTGTAAACATCCTGGAGTAAGACATGAGGGAAGTGAAGCCTCTCCCCTTCGTCTCTGAGTTTGGCCACGTGGCCCTCAGCATTCTGCAACTCCATCGCGTATGCATCTCCTTTCTAAGCAAGAGACCATATGAAAGAGAAAACCCTCAATATGTCAGGAAGCACACAAAGCCATTAAAACAGAAGCAAACATGGAAATGCAATCAAAGCTCAGGAACTAAGGAAAAAAAGAGAAAGTTTTGCAGCTGTCCGTGTCAGCCTCCCTGGAAGTGTCAGAGCTGCCAGTTCATTCCTCATGTGGTCTAAGCACATGCAGGGAGGTTATGTGTACCCAGGAGTTCACAGGCTGGCGACTCAGCAGTCCACTCCTTCTCTATCAGCTCCTCTGTACCTCTTCAAATCACCACACAACGACTTAAAAAAACTATCGGGTGTGGTGGCCCATACCTGCAATCCTGGCATTTGGGAGGCTAAGGCAGGAGGATTTGCTGTGAGTGTGCGGTCAGCCTGGGCAGAAGACTTCTCAAAACACCCCCACAAAAGCCAAAGGGAAGAAAAAGCAAGAACATTTACTCATTCATCTCCGCGGTGCTTGGGATTGGACCCAGGGCATTAGGCATGCTAGGCAAGTACCCCACCACTGAGCTATAACCCCAGCCCCCCTGGATCTTTTAAAACAGAGGTATAGTATGCCATTATAAGGGTACAGGCAACTCTATTTAATTCAGTGGGCTTTGGGGCTATTTATAGCTTTTAAGGCCAGCAGTGCTGCCAGGTCCATTGCACTGGATGGCTTTAGTTGTCAACTTGACACAACTGGGTAGAGGGACACTCAATTGAAGAACTGCCTCTATTGGACTGGCCTGTAGCCACGTCTTGGGGCATTTGTTGAGTGACTGGGGGGGCAGCCCACTGTGGGCAGTCCCACCACTGGGCAGGTAATCCCAAGTTGAATAAGAAAGCACGCTGATCACAGGCCAGGGGAGCAAGCCAGGAAGCAGCATTCATCCATGGTCTGTGCTCCAGGTTCCTGCCCCAAGTTCTTGCACTGGCTTCCCTTGATGATGGACTGTGCTTTTACGTCAAATAAACCCTTTCTTCCCCAGGTTGGTTTTGATCAGAGTGTTTTGTCATAGCAATGGAGAAACAAACCGAGATATCCATCTTTGAACAGCTACAATAATATATTTATCTTCACGTAATTACCCTGTCAATATATTTATTTTTATACAATTATCCTTCTCTGTCTGTCCATTCATCCATCCATCCATCCACCCAACCTCCCATCCATCCATTCATCCATCTATCTACCCACCCACAAGGTCTCATGAGGCCCAGGCTGGCTTTGAACTCTATATTGCTGAGGATGACCTTGAATTTCTGATCCTCCTACCTCCACCTCCTAAGTGCAAGGATTACAGGTATATGCCATCAGGCCTGGTTTATATGGTACTGGGGCTCAAGCCTGGGGCTTTGTGCATGCCAGCCAAGCACTCTACCAATGGAGCCATGTTCCCCGGTCTCTTATTTTACCTCTTCAGGAAGAACACAAGTCCAGATCTTTGAGTGGTAACTGAATATAGAAGCTTCTCAATATTCACTCAATAAATGAACTCTAATTGATGCTGAATGGAAGAGTACTTACGCTTAAAATCCTCACATTAATCAAAAGGTCCCTAGAAGGTAGACTAATTAATTAGAGCTTCAATGGAGGAGGTGAGGGCCTCATTTTCCAACACCTTTACCAACCATGGGTGCACCGAACTTTTTGCCTATTGATGTGTAGAAATGAACTCTTGTTGAAGACATTGTGCCTCAGGAAGTATTACCTGAGCAACATGTCTGAAGGTCAGTATCAACAGCTCTCATCTTACTGATTTACTTAAGCTTTGCCATGTCTCACAAAGGGACATGGCTTGGCTGCACAGCTGATGCCTAAGACTGGTCTAAGGTCACATTCATCTGAATTACTTTGAATGATTACCTGAAGCTGTTCACCAATGCTCTGCCCACTGATTTCATTCAAAGACTGTTGTAAAGCTGTCTTCTTCTTAATGAGTTGATCATATAATTGCTTTATTTCATTCTGTATTTAAAAAAAAAAAGTTCATGTGGGAAACTAAGCAATCTCATTTAGACCCTCATTCCCTTTTAATATTTAGTTGACAGTTTCTGAAGCACCCACACATTCCATCTTTGACCCACAGCTGACTTTTTTCCCTTTTCCTTTCCCTCTCCCCCAGATTTCAGCTATACCCAACTGCCCTTTGAATGATTTTGAGGCAAATATCATGTTATTTCATCCGTGCTTCAGGTGTTAGCTATAAAGCATAAACGCTCTCTCTTGCTAAAAATACTACAATCCTCTCCCCTCGGGACCAGTGCTAATCCTTCCATATGATCAATTACCCAGACAGGTTCAGGCTTCTGTAACTGCCTCTCATTTTTCTCTTTGGTGTTTCAATTCGGGATATCAATGAGGTCTTTACGTCACAATAGATTACTGTGTCTCCTTCAGTTGGCTGGCTCCCTACTCTCTTTTATTTCTTGGATTCCCCTGTGTAAGAAAGCAGGAGCCATTTGTTCTGGATTTAGTTAATTACACCACCAGGTGCTAACATGGGCTCCCCTTATGTCGGTTTTACTTGGATTCTAGAAGCTGGTTTGGATGTGGGTACACGTGTGTGTGCGTGTGTGTGCGTGTATGTGTGTGTGTGTGTGTTCGTTCAAGTGTGTAGAAGCTGGTTTGGATTTGTGTGTGTTCGAGTATACAGACCTGTGTACCCACATGCAGAGGCCAGAGAAGAAACTGAGTGTTTTTTGCTTTGTCTTGTTTTTTTTTTTTTTTTTGAGCTAGTGTTGGGAGCTATTAATCCATTATGTACATTGAGCTGTGGCAGGCTTGCTTGGTTAGTTTGTGTTTTGCACACCAGTACCTAATCTGCCAAGTCAGGCGGAATGTGTAGTTCACAAGTATTTGACCTCTCCTTGACCCTCAGATACAGGTGGGAAAAAACAGCTGTGGAAATTAATTGAGTTAAGCAAACCCTGGCTATCTCTGATGTTCTACTGTATAAAAAGGCTGAGCTAAAATAAACTGGGGCTGCAGTCTCTACTGACAGTCCTCCCAGGTATCTTTTCTCTGTCTCTTGTTTTTTCTTTCAATCCTCACTCCCCCTTTCAGGTACTGTCCGTCTTGGCCGGCTGGCACCGGCAAGCTAGGACCTTACCATGTACCCCTGGCTAGTCTGGAATGCACTATATAGACCAGGCTGGACTCACTCAGATCTGTCAGCATCTGCCTCCTGAATGCTAGGACTAAAGGGATGCACCACATGCCTGGTGGAACACTGGTTGTCTTATTCCATCACTCTGTACATTATTATTATTATTATTATTATTAATTATTTGAGTCAGGGTCTCTCACTGAAGAAGCTCACTGTTTTGATTAGGCTGGATGGCCAGCAAACTCCCAGAATCCACCTGTCTCTGCTCCCCAATACTGAGGTAACAGGCATGGGAAACAATGCCTGGCTTTTATGTGGGTGCTGGGGATTTGAACTTAGGTCCTCTTGCGGGAACAGCATGCACTTTTGCCCACTAAGTCATCTCCTCAGCACTCAGGTTTGATTTTTATGGACCAGACTCCTTCATAAGTAGCGTTTTGTTTCGTATCTTTTTCATTATATAATCTTAACAGTTTTCTAAATATTCTCTTTGCTTCAAGACTTTGTATTTAACAATCCACCAAATCCCTGACCAGACGAATCTGCCTGAAACACAGAGATTCTCATTCCTCTACTCAAAGCAATGAACAGATTCCTCTGGCCTAGAACGTTAAATAAAAAACCCTCTCTATGACAATCACTGAGTAGCAGATGTAATACAAGAAACATGTTAGATCATCTTAACACCCACACTTTTGGAAGGGGCCTTGCTTTTATTCAGTCTCCCCACTGAGCGTACAGGGAGGCCTCCCTGTCTCCCTGAGCAATTCCTATAAAAACTGCTGGAACTGGGGGTCACTGCTACAGTCAGCCGTGTGCTCAGAGTCGTACCTGGTAACTGCGACTGTGGTCAAGGCCTGCCCTCAGAGAAGAACTTTTCCAGGCAGCTTTAGCCTGGCTGTGCTCCAGGCTGACTTGGAGGGCCTGGAAACATTCAGGTAGCAACGTGGGGCTCTTGTCAAGCCAAGTCACAGCTTTCAAAAGATCATCCGTCTTGTCACCCAGTGCTAAATAAAGTTTCTTCAACTCGAGAGCCAGTTTCTGCAAGGTAGAGGGAAAGGAGGAGAAGGAATGAACTCTGGCATGTCTGGCAGCTGCAGAAGACAGGCACACGGGCAAGAGGTGAACCCTACCTCAAAGAACACCTGCTGGCCAGACGCATCCTCTCTGAGGAGCCGGGGCCTCTGCAGCAGCAACTCCATGCTGCTCAGGCACTGACTGAGGCTCAGAAAGAGTTCGAATAATTTTGTATCCAAATTGTTACATGTTTCTTCTGTCATGTGCTCCTAAATCAAGGAAAACATTATTACAACCCCTCGTCTTTCTAAACCTCCATTTCCCTCTCATTTCCATTAAAGTGTGTACCTTATATTTTACTTTTTATTTAGATAATAAATTGTTTCAACTAGTAATTGCCAGATGAAGGATTAAATAGTGTTCTACTAATTGGTGAACTAGTTTATTCTGTGAATTAGACTGTAGAATAAATAAAACAATTTTTTTTTTAAAAAATGAGGAAAACAAGTTTAAGAATATTAGGCAAGCTGGGCGTGGTGGTGCATGCACGCCTTTTAGTCTCAGCACTCAGGAGGTAGAGGCAGGTGGATCTCTGTGAGATTGAGGCCAGCCTGGTCTATATAGTGAGCTCTATACCAGCTGGGATTACAAGGAGACATTGTCTCAAAACAAGCACAACACAACAACAACAAAAAGAATATTGGGTAACTGTTTGACTACTGAATGGAGTTAGAAGGGGAATCAGCCAGGTGTGGTGGTACAGGGGGACAGGTACAGGGAAACCCTAGCTCAAGACCAGGAAGAAAGAAAGGGAAGGAGGGAAGGAATTACAAGATTTTCTTGGTCTGTTTGAGACAGGGTCTCCCTGTAGCCCCAGCTGGCCTGGAACTCGCTATGTAGACCAGGCTGGCCTCGAAGTCACAGAGATCCGCCTGCCTCTGCCTCCTGAGTGCTGGGATTAAACAATATGGTCTTTTTATGAAGGTCTTCTTTAGCAGGGTCATCCAGGTAAAGCTGTGGCCCAGGTAAATGTCACCATTCAACCCTCTTCCCACAGTTTCCTGTCTCTACATTTTTGAGACAGGGCCTTGTTATGTGGCTCAGGCTGGTTTTGAATCTGCAGTCCTCCTGCCTCTTGAATGCTGGGATAAAGGTACGAGCTACCTCACCCAGTTCTCCCACATTTTTATGTAGAAGAAAGTGGGTTAATGAAATCAAGTATAGCCAAGAGAAGGAAAGTTAAAAGGAGAGGCTTGAGGGGTTAGTTAGGAAGAGGAGGTAAAGTATCAGAAAGATAGAGGTAGGTGATGGGAAGGAACAGTTAGGTGTGTCAGTCACAGGCTGACTGAAAACTGAGGCACTTTAATAGGTATATCCCCAAGGACGCCCCTGGGGCTGAGCCACTGTATTCTGGTGAGTTGGAGAGCCACAGATTCATTTTAGCATAAACTGTAGGAACTGCCTTGAATTCCTAACTAAAGTATTTTGGAGTATGCCATGGCCCCTAAGTTACTAGTCCACTTCCAATAAACACCATTTGGGCTCTGATTTCTACTGCTGTCTCTGGTGGATACCTAACAGCACCCGACACATCATTCAGCATAAGCACACTTAAGGTTGTAACACTGTCCCTGCCAGTCGCATCCTGGGGCACCAAGCAGATAGCACTAATCAATTGCCATTTTCCTCCAGGTGATCCTACATGCAGATTCAGAAGCCTTTGCATACAGTGCTCTAGGTAGCCACTACAAAATTCACCAGAGCTGGCACAGGGAAGTAGTTCAGTGGGGTGGGTACTTACCCACAATGTTTTGGGTTCAATCCCCAGCACCACACAAACAACCAGGGTTGGCAAACAAAACAAATCCCATTTGTAATTCTAGGACTTACTCCATTCCTCAGTGAAGAAAATTATGACCAAAGCACAGCGGGGCTGTCCTACCTGCCTTTCATTTCTTAATGTTACTGCAATGAGGAAAACATGCGGCATGCAATTCCTACCTGTGTCTGAAGATGATGTGCTTCCTGGCGCAGATCTTCAAGTTGCATGGTGTAAGCTTGCAGTTCTTCAGTCGTAGGGTATCTGAAGTTATATACAGTCACACTGGGTAGAATACTCATATTTGTGGCAACCTATTTGAGAAAGAGAAACCTAATCAGTGATAGCTTGAGACGCTGCTGACGCCGTTGCAAACAGCAAAAAGCACTTCTGCATCAAGTCTGCTGTTACCTGCCTCAGTAAGTGTTTAAATCTTGTCACTAATTTAAAAGAAAATTATTTTAGACCACTTTGAAACATAACAAGTTAAACACCTGATGATCCATTTAGATATCAGAATGAGGGGGAACCACTCCACACACAGCAAAAACACTATGTATGTATGCAGATATTTATATGCATAATTAATTCAAAATTTTATTCTTTATTTTTTTGGCAGTTCTAAGGACTGATCTCAGGGTCTTCTGCATGCTAGGCAAGTGCTCTACCACTGAGCTATATCCTCAGCCTTAACCTTTCAGTTTAATAGGAGAGACAGTCATGTCACAGAGTTAGCTATTTTTTTAACCCAGTCCATTTAGTATTTATGTGCTAGTTCGCTTACTGGCTCCTGGTATAGAAAACTCTTAGAGGGAGATACAAAAATCACAATGAGGGCCAGATTTGCATTCGATTTGTTATTGAAAACACAAATAAACGTTGAAAATAAGTCATAGTTTAAAAGGAAGAATGATTCAGAATAAATTTCTCAAATTGAAACATACATAATCAAAAACATGTTAGATGACTGGGGAACTCACGGGCCCCAGGGGTGAACCGGCTATTCCTATTTTGCTAAATCGACATAGTATTGAACTGGCCTCTAAGTTCATATCTATACCCATAGATTAGTGCAGCTCTCAGATCTCATCAGAGAAGTGTCTTTGTGCCATGGACGGCATGCCTCACCCTGCGTCCCTGTTCAGCATGGAAGAAGCCAGAGCGGTCAGCATCCCTATTCCCTATTGACAATTTGGGTAACCCCTTCAGAGGATGGCGTGATAAGAATAGGAGGTAGGAATTGGTCAGGCAGTTAGGGTAAAAAGGCCCCCCAAAATGTAGCCAGTTTCTTGGCTAAAAGTCAAAATGTCCTTGGGCCTCTTAGCAACATACTCTGTTCCAAAGGCCAAAAATGTCAAAAATATTTGGGAGCTTGTATCTAATCCTTAAAAGATTTTAGGGTTACCTCTTCAGAGGGGGGGATGTTGGAGGGGAGGAAGTGGGCATGGATTTGATCAAAACACCTTATATGCATGTATGAAATTCTCAATAACGTTTTTGTAAAAATTTAAAAAAAAAGTAGAAACTCACAACTAGTCAAAGTGCAGCAAATAGGTAGGTGTTGAAGGAGTGCTCAGTCACAACAGGACATCTATACCATACCCCCTCCCCACAAGGCTCAGGGACCATCTTGGAAGGGGGTAGAAAGAGTCTAAGAGCAAGAGGTCAGGGGAGAACCCGATGAAAGTGTCTTCTGGATGTGACAGGACCGCTGCTCTCCTAAACTCAGAGCAGCTGTGGTTGCCTACACAAGACCTACACAAGATTAAGCCAGGAAATATTCCAACATGGGGGAAGGACTCACAAACTGGAGCCCCACTCCCGGCTGAGGAGTTATTGACAGTTGATGGCTGCTGGGACAGGGAGAGTGGAGCTTTCTTTAAAGGTGTGGTCCCTGGAAGGTCGACCATGCTCCAGTGGATGGCTACACACCAATGAGTGTATGAGTATCACAAACTGGAATCAAACCAAACTAAATCAAAACAAACAAAAAAGACAAAAAGAGGACAAGAAGTTGGGAAGAGGTAGGGGTGGAGATGAGAAGAGTTAGGGTAAATATGATCAAAATATGTTGTATGTATGAATGAAATTCTCAAAGTTAATATGAACTTTATATTTAAAAACCAGGTTAGGGTGGTAGAAGACTCTTTGAGAGAAAGAAAGAACTGTGAATTAGCATTCCACTCTTTAAAAGATACTTACATATATATTTTACAGTGGGATTAACATGGAAAAACCAAGATAAAGTCCTACCTATGAGGTTAATTCAGTTCTGAATGGTCAAATAAGCTTCCTGGCAGGAAAGAGATTCCCTCCAAACTGGAGAGTTGGAAATCATTGGTCACCTTTGCCTAGACTGTCTAGATACATGGCTGACTGCTGAAGCCTGGCTGCTATCAATAGCAGTGCTATGCCACTCACCTGTCCCCTCCAGCAAGGGCTGACACTCTACCCCAGCCTGATCAAAACCTGCAATAACAGTGGTGATGTGTGCTGGAGAGAATACTGCTGACAGGTCCCAGAGGCAAAGGCTGGCACATAGTAGGTTCTACCACATCTTTTGATGAATGAATGACATGTACACATCACTCTATAGTTTTAAAATATTTTATTTATTACTGTTATGTGTATGAGTACACTGTGGGAACCTGAAGGCCCCACCTTGCATAGGTCCGAGAGGAAGTTACTGGGGGGCGGCCTGACTTGCTTTGAAAGTTTGAAGAATACTTCCGCACTGCTGAGGAGTGCATGATCAGCGCGTGACCATCCTTAAGATACACCCTCGGGGGGAGGGGGGATTTCCAGGTGCCTTTATAAGCTCTGTAACACCTGCAATAAATGAGTCCCTGCTTGACTAGGCTCCCCGTTGCGCCTGAGTGTTCCTGATATTGGGGGTGGTTTCTGGGCTGGCGAATGGCGTGCTTACTCAGCCCCAATCATCACTGCCCGGGGGTCGCTGGTTCGAACCCCTGGCAACTGGCACCCAGCGTGGCACTCGAAGGAAGGTGAAAAGAAGAAAGAAGAAAAACGGATTGGGGACAATCAGGAAGTTGAGAGTAAGCAAAACCTGGAAAGATGGGTAATGCAACTTTTAAGTCTGATGACCCGGAGGTGCTTAAAGCGCTGCGAGATATGCTTAAAAGCAGGAGATTGGACCTGTCAGATCCAGTAGCTCAAAAGGTTTGGGCAGAGGCGATTCATTTAGCTCCCTGGATACTTGGGGCTAATGTTTTTACTGGGGATACATGGGAATCATGGGAAGAATTTGAGGGAGAATGCAGAAGTGCAACAGAAGTGAAACCAAAAGCGGCCAAAGTAACAAGCGGCCCAAGGGGGCGTGCCCTGGCGAGCTTCAGAGCCTCTTGGGACCCATGTAAACAGGACCCATTGATGCATTTTTCCAAAGGGCGGGGTGGAGCCGAATGTACAGGGTCAGCAGCGAAAGCCACCCACCCTACCGCCTTGAACTAATGTGTGCGCATGTCAGGGGCCCGCGCGAAAGCTGGGCAGGAGACTGCCCCCCAGCCGGTGACTGGCACTGCGAGCCCTTAGTAAACGCCTACAATTTTTTTCACTGACTGGGGCAGATGTGGAGAAACCAAAGAGCAGCTCAATTCAAGGAACTCATGGCCATTGTTTTCTGACAGTATTCAGAGTCGTAAGCTCCTTAAGGAGAGAGAAGCCTCTATTTTCTTACAGCATCTTAGGGGGCACCAAGGATTGCCTGGGGTTTTATCCCAAGGCAATGCAGAGGCAGACAAGATGGCTTATTGTGTACAGGTATTGCCTCTGCAACAGCCAGGGGTGAGCCCCAGGGTACTCGGGCCTGGTTCCTTGTGGCAAACGGATGTCGCACACTGTGCTCCTTTTGGGAAGCTTAAGTATATTTTTGTGTCCACAGACACATTCTCACATGCCTGTTGGGCTACCGCTCATACAGGAGAGAAGTCTAAACATGCTCAGTCTCATTTTCTCCAGTGCTTTGCTACATTGGGACTGCCCCAAAGAATTAAAACTGATAATGGACCATGTTTTGTGAATAAAAATTTACAAGATTTCTTTTCACTTTGGGGAATTCAACACAATACAGGAATTCCCTACAATCCCCAAGGTCAAGCCATTGTAGAACGTGACCATCAAAACCTAAAAATTCAATTACAAAAACAAAAAGGGGGAATGAACCCCCACCAACAATTGGGTATGGCCTTATTCACTATTAATGTTCTTAATTTTCAAAAAAATCAGTTGGAATCCCGGTTTCAGAAGCATTGGGGATGACAGGAGCAGAGACCTGAGGTACGGGTAAGATGGAAGGACCCCATTACGGGGCAATGGAAAGGCCCAGATCCATTGCTAACCATGGGTTGAGGCTTTGGGTGTGTCTCCTCTATAGGAGATTCAAACCCCATATGGGTGCCTGTGAAAAACCTTAAGTGGGTAGGCCAGGATCCGACTGACAAGCATGACGGTCCATGGACAGTAGTTCATGAGATAAAATTCCTCTATTTATATCCATCTTAGGTGAAGGACCCAGTTCCTTGGCTTCATTGCCAGTCAGCCTCTTTGCCTTTCAGACAACTGGCTAATTGGCTAAAAGTTACATGGTCTCAGAAGTATTTCAACTTGTCCTACGCCATGACTTGCTTTGTTTCTCTTGATAATGCTTATCTTTAAATGTCTTTACCAGATAATTCAGTGACAGAGGACCCTTGGAACTGCCACTACAGACTCCCAGGAATATACCCCCTTCGGTTGCCCACACTTGTCTGAGTTAGGCAGAGACTAAGACTGTCACAGGCTGGCATTACCCATGCGGCTGCCCTTAATCATGACACATTTTTAGTCAAGGACAGGTAAGATGTCCCATGACAAGTACTCCTAAGACAGGACATACACATAGCCAGGTGCATGATCCAGTGACGGGCAAGGCTTGGTCAGAGGTGACACAACCTAAGACAGGCAAAAATGCTTAAGATTAGAGGAAGGAGATAGCCATCTCTCCTCAGGGAGCCATCTATGAGATGGGTAACCCGTGAAATAAAGTCAGTCCAGCCTTAAAATAAAAATAAAAGGGGGAAATGTGGGGACCTAAAGGCCCGAAGTTACTGGGGGTGCGGCCTGACTTGCTTTGAAAGTTTGAAGAATACTTCTGCACTGCTGAGGAGTGCATGATCAGCATGTGACCATCCTTAAGATACACCCTTGGGGGGAGGGGGGATTTCCAGGTGCCTTTATAAATGAGTCCCTGCTTGACTAGGCTCCCCGTTGCGCCTGAGTGTTCCCGGTATTGGGGGAGGCGTGGGCTGGCGAACGGCATGCTTACTTATCCCCAATCATCACTGCTTGGGGGTCGCTGGTTCGAACCCCCAGCAGTGCATGAGCTGCATGTAAGTACACCCATATCATGCAATGCCTGCAGAGGCCAGAAGAGGGCATCAGATCCCCTAGAACTGGAGTCACGGACAACTGTCAGGTGCCATGTGGGTGCTGGGAACAGAACTCAGGTCCTCTGCAAGAGCAACCAGTGTTCTCAACTGCTGGGCCATCTCTCCAGTCCCCTAACTCTATAGTTTTTAAAATGCTTTGTAAAACTTACCATTGTTCATTCAGTAGACAGTAACTGAGACCCAATGATGCTGCAGGTACCATAGTAGGTACTCAAATGTGAACCAGGCAGACATGGTCTTTCTTTTCAAGACCTACTAATGTGGAACAGACTGTTACAGTTTTAATTTGGAGTGTTTCCCCTTGCTGGGAGGCAGGTTTGTGGGTTACAGCATGACCCATCTTCTGGTCCCCTCTTGCTTCTTGATCCATCAAGATGTGAACATGTCATGCCACAAGCTCCCACCACCACAGAGGGAGCTGCATCAGCTGCCATGCCTTCCTCATTATGGATAATCTCCTGAAACTTTGAGCCTAAGTAATCCCTCCCTTAATATGTTCTGTCAGGTATTTCTGTCATGGCAATAAGAAAACTTAAACAGGTGAGTAGTATATCAGGCATTACAACCAGAGAAGCCCAGGCACTACAGAAGCATGGAGGAAGGTGTTGGCCAAGTGGAGACGCCACTTGGTTTCTTTGCTTTCTGAAGGTAAACAGTACGCTGTGCAGAGTACACGTCATTACTCAATGAGCCCTTGCTGGGTTCCAAAGACTAATGGGCTGAGGGAGGTGCACACTAACCTGAGGCTCCACAAGCTGAGGCACAGGTGGATGTACTCTTGATACTAATTCATGGTAAAGATACTGCCATCTATCACCACTCTGGCCCTCAGGTGGCAAGGCTGAGTCTGGAGCATCGTTGCTAGGGCTGAATGCCTTGTTGCTTTTGAGGCGGGGAAAAAAGAAAGAAGTGACATTAAAATTTTGTCATCACATTTAGATAATGTTTTGTGAACTACTTTTAAAGAAACAATTCTGGGCTAGACAAATGGCTTAGCAATTAAGAGCACTATCTGTTCTTCCAGAAGACCCAGTTTCGGTTCCCAGCACCCACATGGCAGCTAACAACCATCTGTAACATCAGTTCCAGGGGAATCTGATGCCTCTTCTGGCTTCTGTGGGCACTGCATGCATGTGATGCACTTATATACATGCAGGCATAAAACTCATATACATAAAAATAAAATAAAATAAATTTAAAAGAAACAATTCTCTCAATAATAAATATACAAATGGGGCTGGGGATATAGTTCAGTTGGTAGAGTTCTTGCCCCTGACCTCCAGTGCCACATAAACCAGGTGTGCAAGTGCAATCTTAGTACTCAGAATGTGGAGGCAGGAGGATCAGAAATTCAGTCATCATTGGCTAAATAGCAAGTTTGAGGCCAGGCTGGGTTACAGAAAACCCTATCGCAAGAACAATAAGAACAACTAAAGATAAAATGAAAATGAACCATCAACAATAAATGTACAAATGTACAAATGTCCAACGATTTAAAAATGCTTTACCTCACAGCTGACTCCTGAGCTGTATCTTTATCCTGTTGGCAATACTGGGGCGATATTTTCTTAGCATTAAATTCTATGAACTTGATTAAATCTTTCTGTTCCAATGGTTTTAACTCTTGAAACTGTAAGTGAATAAAATTCAAATGCCTTAACCAATATAGTTTTTCAATTAGTACTCCAAAATTTCTTCTGTTGAGCGAATTTGATTTTGAATCACTTCTCGATTCATTGCATTTTTCTTGTTTGCTTTTTGTTGTTAATGTCTATTTCCCCCCAAACTCATTTAAAAGCTGGGGATGTGGCTCCTTGGTAGAGCTCCTGCCTAGCATGTGCTAGGCCCTAGGTTCAATCCCCAGTACTGCAAAAACTAAAAATAAAAACAAAGACATAAACAAAAAGCATAAAAACATTCATATAATAGTCAAGTATTACTTAAACAATATTGTACACACATGGAAAAATTGCCAAAAATGTGTTAACATGCTTTGAATCAGTAAGCAAGGCCGAGCAGTGCTGTAGACACAGAGGGAAATTTGCCCTGGAGTGTTTGCTTAGTTTGAGGTAAAATATAGCTTAATAAAGGAGCAAGGGTTAGTGTCCCCAGTGGAAGCAGACAGAAGCAACACACAATCAGGACTCAAAACTCAGATCCCCGTGCAGACCCAGCATCCACACATCAGTTTACACCTATCATAAATGTAGCCCCTCCAATGACAGCTCAGACTTTAACCCAAAAAGAAATTCCATCTAGAAGGTTTTTCTCTAGTTCTTAGACTGAGACAATGGGATATTACCTGGTGCTGAGAAACATCTTTTTGTTTGCTGAACTGTGGACTTTTGGTTTCGACAGATTCCATCTCAAAAAGGCTTACTGGTTGCAGGACTCTCTGGTTCTGTGAATGTTTCTTGAGAGCAGTAGGGTGCTGGGGAAAAAAAAAACTCCATGATGGCAGAGTAATCATTTAAAAACAAAGACACACTGTATCTCAGCTCTAACAACACAAGTGTAGAATGGAAGAGTTTTGTATGAAATGAAGTGCTGCTATCCACTAAAATACAATGTACTTATTTCAAGAACTACTCCATTTAATGATATGATTATCTTATCTGTCCACTGAATTTGTAAAAGTCAGGAAATTTATTGTCTTTCTTTTTCTTTCTTTTTTTTTTTTTTGGTCTTTTTGAAACAGAGTTTCCCTCAAGACCCAGCTGACCAGGCTGGCCTTGAACTCCCAAGTGCTGGGACTACAGGTGTGCGCCACCACGCCTGGCTTCCTTTTTAAGAACAAAGTAAAAAAATAAAAATAAATGAGATAGTATTATGCTTCTAAATTCAAATATTTCCTAATTTATATATATATATATATATAAATTTTTTTAAAGGCAAAAACTTGGAGCTAGAGAGATGGCTCAGAGGTTAAGAGCACTGGCTGCTCTTGCAAAAGCCTCGGGTTCGATTCCCAGCATCCACATGGCAACCAATAACCATCCATAACTCTAGTTCCAGGGGATCCAACACCCTCTTCTGACCTCCGTGGGCACTGCACGACACAGGTGCACTTAACATACATGCAGGAAATACACTCATACACATAAAAAATAAATAAAATATTTTAAACTTTAGGATGAAAGGGAACCCTATGGTCTTTGTACCCGCAGCCAACCTCTTTCCTGTGAACCTAAGCACCCCAAGAATCCCTCGTAAGTTTGCACACAAAGTTTACATAGTAAGATTCTAGTTTAAGATGTATATTTGCACTTAAAAGCATAGAAGGCTTTAAATATGAGAACACCTTGGCTATATGATAATCAGATCAGTATATACAAATATTCGTCAGTGAATAACACACAAGTACTCTGGAGGTGGGTTTTGCTTTTATGATAACAAATTTTACTTTTTTGAGACAGGCTCTCCAACTTGCTATGTTGCCAAGGGTGACCTTCTCCTTTTGATCCTCCTGCCTCCACCTCCCCAGTGCTAGGATTACCTGTGATGGTGGGGACTGAACCTACGGCTTTGTGTATGCTTGGCAAGCAATCTACCAAATAAGGTATTACCAGTCCTGGTATCAAATTTTAATTTTATCTATTTATATCTATAAAAGCATCGTTTTCTAGTCAACGAGTCACAAAATTCATTTATTCATCTTACTTTGTTAAAATTTTAAAATTCTATTTATTATGTGTGTGTGTGTGTGTGTGTAAGCGGTACAGTGCATGTGTGAAGGTCAGAGGACAAGTTGTGGGAGTCAGTTCTCGCCTTCCATGGTGGATTCGGGGGATTGAACTCAAGTTAGGCTTCTAGGGCAAGTGCTTTTACCTATGAGCGATATCACTGGCCCACAAAATTCCTTTACAATATATCCTTCTTCCCTTACGAAGAAGCTTTACACTGGAGTTCATTATCAATGAGAACACTCAGACCCATCAAACTAACCTGCCACCACCACCAACCACTTAAGCCTAGAGACCTGGGCCCTCCCCTGACCCCTTTCAGTTTAAAGATGTATGACTCTCTATTTTTTGTTGTTGTTGTTGTTGAATTTTCTAGACAGGGTCTTACTACATAGCTCCAACTGGCCTGAAACTCACTATGTAGAAGAGGCTGGCTTTGATCTCATAGAGATTCACCTGTCTCTGCCTCCTAAATACTGGGATTAAAGGCATGCACCACATACATGTATGCCCAGCACACAACCTTTTTTTTTTTTTTGGTCTCTTTTTGAGACAGGGACTCCCTGTAGCCCCAGCTGGCCTGGAACTCACTATGTAGACCAGGCTGGCCTTGAACTCACAGAGATCCACCTGCCTCTCATTCCGGAGTGCTGGGATTAAAGGTGTGCGCCACCATGCCCGGCAAAACTTTCTTAATGAGCATAGTCTCTCTGCACTCGCTTTGTCTACCCAGAGTTCTGGCTAGCTCTGGAGCATCAACACATACCTGCACAGCACACATCACCACATCTCACCTGATCTTCACTGTACTTCTCTTGAAGCATCACCTGGACCTTTTCCAAATTGCACTTCACAGTTTTGAGTTTCAGGGATAGTGCTTCAGCCTCGTGTTGAGTGGCCCCGCAATCTCGCAGGCCCTGATCTTTGCACGTCTCTAACAGAGAGGCGACTTTGTGCTCAATCTCTGTCAGCATAGCCTATGAAAGAATATCATTTAATTATTCATAGTGGTTCTGGGGGTATGTGGGACGGAACCTGGGACCATGTACATGCAGAACATAGCCTCTATCCCTGAGCTACATCCTTAGTCCACAGCACCGGTCTCCAATAGGTATTGTTCTCCAAAAAGGTCAGACTTACTTTTACTACTTGAGCATGTATATAAAAAAAAATCCCAGAAACACAGGGCCAATGGGATCTTGGGAAAACAAAAACTTTGACAGAATTCTGTGCTGAAAAACAGGGGTGGAATCAAATGTGTGTCTCAAGTAATCCTTGAAATGGAGACAGAATTTACCTCCTAGAGTCATTGTGAGCAATCCATCAGTTAACTCCATGTATTTTCACCTTAATCTATGTCCTTTGGATTTGATGAGTTAATATCATATAGTCTGTGCTTAAAGAGCATTTAAACACAAGATTGAGTGAAAATTATTGGCTATTCTTATTCTCACCCACCTTCCTAATCTTTTGAATTATAATCCAAGTATCAAATGGAAATTTTAATAAGGAATTCCATGGACTGGAGAAATGGCTTAGCAGTTAAGAGCACTTCCCGCTCTTGCTGAGGACCTCATTCAGATCCCAGCACCCACACTGGGCAGCTCATAACCACCTGTAACTCCAGCTCCAGGGAATCTGATGCCCTCTGGCCTCTGTGGGCATTGCATGATACATGTGTATTTATATACATGCAGGCAATACACTCATAAATTTTTTTTTTTTGTCTTTTTGAGACAGGGTCTCCCTGTAGCCCCAGCTGATCTGGAACTCACTGTGTGGACCAGGCTGGCCTTGAACTTACAGAGATCTGCCTGCCTTTGCCTCCCAAGTGCTGGGACTAAAGGTGTATACCAACACCCCTGGCTAAAATAAAAATAAATCACTGAAAGAGAATTCCACATGCATATTTAAAAAATCTTTGCCTTGCTCTGTACTTTTCTTCAAGCCAAATAAGCCTCCAAAAGACCAGAAGAAAATAGAGTAATTCAGAACCTAAAATGCTTAGTCATTGATACAATTGGCCAATCTATGCACCAGTCTAAAAATAAAGCCACTGAAGTGTGTTTCCCAGTAAGTCAGGCTCTGTGCACTCCTCCTGACACATCTCCACACTCTCCTGGGCTCAGGAGTCTGTGCCACAATGTTGGCTGGCTGGGCACAGGGTCAGCAGCTGTGTGCACATTCACATTCCAGCTCCAAGGCCACTGGCACCAAAACTCAGCCTCTGACTAAAAACAAGTTCAGGCTGCTGGGAGAAACTTAAACATTGTAACCCCAAACACATTTCCAAGTAAAATATCTTATAACTCCTTTATTCAAGCAAACTACTTCTATCCCTACAGATCCTTGTGCGTTAAAACACTGTGTACTCTTAGTTTTTAGAGTGGCTGTAAACAAAGGATACCATAACATTAGCTGTTTTATATAAATGCTTTATATGGCTGTAGACTGATGCTTCCTGGTGACCATTTTAACAGCTGCAAGCTGGTGTTCTGCAATGTGCTCAACCTTCGCCTTTTTACTACTTTATTTAAGCTACTTCCAAATCTTCACTTTGATAATTAATGCTGTCATGGTTATTTTTACCATTTTAGATTATTTTCCGAGGATAATCTTTCTTCTTAAAAATTTTCTACTTATCCCCCCCCCCACAGGATAAATCTTAAAAAAAATGGTATTATTAGGTCAAAGGAAATGGGCATTATTTACAGTCTCACAGCTGACCTTCCAAAACACTGAATCAACTGGAACTACTAGGCAGGAGTGAGTCAATTTTTCTAGAGTTTTGTCAGGATGATATAATTTTTACTAAAATAGGAATACAATAGTTGTTTTAATTCACAGCCCTTTTCTTTTTTCTTATTTATTTTTATTTTATGTGTATGAGTGTAATGACTGCATGTGTATATGCCTGTGTATCCATGTGTGATGACTGTGGAGTCAGAAGAGAGTACTGGATCCCCTGGAACTGGAGTTACAGATGGTTGTTAGCCACCATGTGGATGCTGGGAATCGAACCTGGGTTCTCTGCAAGAGCAGTCAGTACTCCTAACTGCTGAGCCATCACTCCAGTCCCATTTATTTATTTTTTTGAGATGGTGTTTCATACGAGCTGGTCCCAAACTATGTGTTTTACTTGTTGTGTTGAGGCTGGAACCCGGAACTTCATGCACGCTGGGAAAGCACTCTACCAACTGAGCTACAGCCTCAGCCCCTCAATGAAATATTTTTAGCAGCCAAAGTTGAACATTTCAAAAATGAAAATATCAAATATGATTTTTCTTGTCTGATCTGTTGCTCCTCTAGTCATTCTTTCCACTACAAACTTACTATTTTTATAGACCATTAAGGGCTTTCTATGTTTCCATATGAATTCATAGGTTTTAGGTCATATATATGAGACAAAAATGATCTTGTTCACTGACCCTTTATTTTTCCACAGGTCAGAATGATTAGGTTGAAGCCCATTATTGCCAAACCGAATTTTTTACATATTCAGGGATTTAAAAATATAGTCCAAATAAGTATATTTTAGGCCATTTCGTCTCAAAACTATACCCTTCATCTATCATCTCTATCACAGATAAGCCCAGTCCTGGGGCTATAAAAAGTCCCAGGCCTCTGCTGCCTGGGGAGCTCTGTGACCCATTGTCCTGGGACATCACCTAGAGATATAAGCCCCCTGGAATCTGCTGTCTTCCCACCCTCCATGTCACACTTTAGGATTTGGAAGGTGTCCTCCTGAGGGCCCTCAGAATCATAATCCTGCCCAAGTGCTGCCCACAGAGAGCCTGTTGAGTGTTACTGCCACCTGATGGGCATGACATTTCTTAGCACAGTCCTAAAATCAAAATGGATTAAAATAGCGACTAAGTGGTGACTAAGCAATTCTCATGAGGTCTATGGTAACAGTCAGTTAGCAAATTGATATTACATTGATATGGCCTTAAGAAGCTGGGTTCAAACTTGGGAATACCTCAAGTGCAGTTTAGCGTAGCCCTGTGTAGTTTTAGTGTAGTTTGCTGTGCTGGACTTACTGGGCCTCATTGTTCAGGCCAACCAGAATGCCAGTGTCTAAGTGGGCAGACTCTTAGAACTGACTATCAGGACCGACTGCTGGGGTCAGAGGTGCCACACTGCCCTGAGCAGCTCAGCCCTCCCCTGGCAGTTCTGGGTAGAAGGAGGGGAGCTAGTTACTCCAACCACAGGGCAGGTTACTGCAGGAGGAGCTTCCTGAGGCAGGGCCAGTGCCTGAGAGACTCCAGGACAGGAAGATGTCTTCATCCCTGGAAGGACGCCAAGGCTAGTCTCCCAAGCACAGGCTAGGGGAGAGGCCGCCTCAAGCAGCCAGGAGGCCTCTACTATTATGACAGCAATTACACAGCTGAGTGTCGTCATTCTAGCCCCTCCCTGGAGAGACACTGGAGATGCCAGCCTTTGGGCTGAGCAGGCAGGCTCTCCTCAGAGTGACTAAAGACAAGGAAGCACACGTCCTCACTCCTCCCAGGAGTGCCAGGTGCACGTCTGCTAAAATGGCCAGAAAGTTAGTTGTGGTCTTTGCAATCTGGCACACTAAGACATTTTGTTTCATTTCTGATGAGCTAATTATTCATTCACAATCTCGTGATTGTAGATAAAAAGAATAGCAAATACTGAGCACAGTTTAATGTCAGACACTGCTTTGTATAGCTCATTTAATCCCGACACAATTCTGTTACGTTAACTTACTACATTCTATGAGGAAGGCAAGGCTGGAAAAGTGTTTACCCAAGTTCACAGCTAATGTGACAGGGCTGGATTTGGATTCTGGACTCTGGACTGTTATTCATTACTGTCTCCTCACACTTGTTGCTGACATAAAGAGTTTCAAAGAATCACCCTGAAAACTACAAACTGAGGCCAAGATAAATGTAAGAGCTGGAGCCATAGTAAGGAGCATGCTGTCGCTTTAAAGGCATCTGCCCCATCTTGGCAGGTAACTGGCGAAGAGGCAAACCCTGAACTCCTGCCCATTGGTCTTACCTGGCACCCGACCAGCTCCTGTTCTACCACTTGCTGCATGTCCGCATTTAACGTTTCCGGCTCAAATGCCACGTTGGCTTGTTGTAGCCACAGCTCCAGCTTTGCCACTTGGGTCTTGCATACATGGAGGACTTCTGCAGGCTGGGGCCTTGTTCTCTCCACCGTAGCCTCAAAAGCTCTGTGCTCCTGAGAAAAGTCCAGAGCTGTGGCCTGGATGAGAGGTGTGGCACCCTAAGATAAACCCAAAGACAATCAATCCAGCAGTGAAAAGCTAGGAGTCCAAAGATTTCACACTGGGGCCTGCATAGTCCTGAAAACCTACAATGTGCCCCCCCCCCACCGCCAGTTGAAGGAAGCAAATTAGGGACAGAAGGAAGAAGAAAGAAAAGAAAAATGCACCTCCACACTCATAGCAACAGTCATGTGACCTGGTGGCACAGGTTTCCAGGCAGCCGATCTGCATGTACACAGGAACAGTATTCCCTGGCACAGAGGAAGTGAGTGGTGAGCCCCGGGAGACAGGTGAGACTGTGTGCGTGTGGGTGTGTGTCCCAAACATTTCAGAGAACTGGCCAGTGCTTAAAGTTGCATGACACACATGATTAAGCAAGGCTTAGTGCTATGCACTCTATGCAAACAAAAAGAAAAAGCAAACCAGTGATCTGTCCATACAGGCAGGGACAGACTGACAGCACACATTGGTTACCCTCTTCCCAAGTAGTTAAAGAAGATATTTTAGCTTTTCGTTCTTCATCTAAAATTTCTACTTAAAAAACAGCTGAGTCAAGCAATGAATTTCAGTGGAGTAATCTGGAAATTCTTCTTCCCTCAGAGAAAAGGCTTAAAATGGCTTTTGCTTTCTAGATTCTCAAATATTGAGTTAAGTACTTACTGAATGCTTCAGAGTGGAGTTTAAATAAGTGTGATATATTTTTGTATGTATTGAAATAAATGGATTTTTTACCAACATAAGAGCAAAATTTCTTCCATAGAGTAAATGAAAGTATTTCAACACTTATGTATATGGTAATTTCATGTGGAGGTAAAAGATGGTTTAATACAATGATAGCTTTGCCTTACACTTAATGATCTATGCTTCCCCAGAATACTGATAGAGTACACTGACCCTTCTAGAGAAATCCCTTTAGGAATAAGGACTTGTGTTTTGACCTGCAAAAGGGTTGGTCTCATAATTATAATGATAAAGTACAGTGTTTTCTGTGCAAGACTTTGTCAGCATCCAATGAAGCACAATATGGGACAAATTTCTAATGAGAGTTGCTCAAAAACACATCTCCTAACTCAATACAAACGCACATTTCCCAGCATCTGTGGGATTTCTTTTTCAAATAGAACTTCCAGTGCAATACAGTGAACAGAGCTGATAGACTGTAACAAAAAGTGCAAGGCATGAAAATGCTGGTCTGGCGAAATGTCTTTGCACTGTGTTTTTCCACTGTGCTGTGACCATCTATTTTTACATATAGTTGTTTTTTTCCAGTAAAATGCTATTTCTTGGGGAACTGGGGTATGGCTCAGCGGTACTTTGCCTAGAATGAGAGTCCATGTATTTGATTCCCGGCACCAAAAAAAAAAAAAAAAAAAAGCAAAATTAAAACAAAAACTTAATTTTCCTCCTGCCTTCATCCATCTATTTTTATAATTTTCTTCTAAGAATCACCTTCTTAAAGAACTCTTCCCTTGCTCAGATTTTCTCTGGGCCGCACCAGATCTGTATTTGATTCACCTGCTTCAGTGTTCTTTGCTAGTAATGCTGATGTGTGTGTGTGTGTGTGTGTGTGTGTGTGTGTGCGCGTGTGCGTGTGTGTGTGTGTGTGTGACAGGGTCTCCCTATAGCCACAGGTGAGTAGCCACAGCTACTCACTATGTAGACCAGACCCGTCTTGATTTCACAGAGATCCTCCTGTCTCTGCCTCTTGAGTGCTGAGATTAAAGGTATGTGCCACCATGCCCGACCTTAATGTTAATGATTTTTTTAAGTAATAATTCAGTGGTATTACTGCCAGACATCAATCTCTAGCCCTCTGATTAATCATTTTCTAGTTTTCTAATATTATCCTATCTTAGTAGCAAAGAAGTGGAGATTTCCCCCACTCCTATTTTTTTTGCTACCCTACATAATCTGTTAATATTACTTAGCAATCTGTAATGACTGATTGACCACCTGCCTTCTTGATTTTCTCAAAAACTTCATTTGAACACCTCTGAAAGGCCACACACATTTTTAAGTGTCCTATTAACAACTCCGCTTTCTCACTGCCTCGCTAAATTAATGAGGAAATAAGCAAACTGGATGACTAATCTGCCTTTTATTTGCTAGTTATTTAAACCTGAGAAGAATATGAAGGGGGCAAAAGAAAAAAACAATTATTGCAACCTTAGAAGAGCTGAAAGTGGCCCCAAGATCCTCACTTAGAGGCTCCCTCCTCTTTTTTTCAGTCATGAAACCCGAGCCCGAGCCTGAGCCTGAGGGAGGCTAATCAATTCACAGCCACCCACCCCACCTAAGCGCTTCTGACAAGTGCAGGCCCTGACAAAAGCCACTGGCGCAAGGTCACACAGCACTGTGATCTTCAAATTATGAATTCCCAGTAATTTTCCGCAATAGCAAACCGGAAAAATATCTTCTCTACACAATAGCCCCAAATTCTGAAGGCAGAAATCACATAAGTGAATGTGTTATAAAACTGTATTTTGGGAGGCGAAAGGTGTTGCCACAAGTGGTTATGCCACTATGCCAGCTATGACAATGAGATTTAATAATCCCTGTGTTTCATTGGTAATATTTATTATTAATGAGCTTGGCACTAAGTTAAGCATGATACTAAGACCAGCTCCTTATTTTATACCACAGACTGTGTTCACAGTGTATAGGTGAGGGATCTCAGGCTTTCAGAGGCTGCTGAAACTGCCCGAGCTAACACAAGCAGTAACTAGAAACAGTCAATCCTTGATTTCACTATGCTTTGCAAAGTCCAACTCCATCCTCTTCCCATAGCTTCACCAACTCTCTAGCATTCACATTAGACATCTGCTTCAGCATGTCACTGAGCTAAACCCCCACTTCTTAAACTGTGGGTTGTCATCCTATGAGGTCACACAACTGAATGGAGGTGTTGTGAAAATTCTGGCAACAGTAACAGGTTTCTGAACACATGATGACCAAAAAATTTGAAATGAGCATGAAATATGTAATGTGAGTCGGCGAGATAGCTCAATGGGTAAAAATGCTGGAATCTGATCCCTGAACAAAACCCACATGAAAAGCAGGCTGTGATGGTGTGCATCTGCAATCCCACCATTCCTATGGAGAGATGAGGCAGAGACTGGAGAATTTTCTGGAAGCTCTGAGACAGCTAGCTTGGAGTAGGCAGCAGGCAGTGCAGCAGAAACAAGAGAGACCCTGCTGAAGGGGAAGGCGAACAGCTCTCTTCACATCCCTACCCTGCTACAGAGTTATTTCTCTACCTCTAAATAAACTTTGATTGCTTGACCTTGATTAAAAAGAGAGAGAACCAGCTCTTAAAAGCTGTTCTCTGACATTCACACATGTACCATAGAATGTGTGAGCCTGAACTCATATATGTACACCCCCCCCACACACAACAAACACACATGTAATGGAACTGAGGAGTTTCAGGCAGCTCTCATATGACCTCACTGCAGTCTTGGTACTGAACACATAGCCCGCACACTCTACTATACATGTCACACCACTCCATGCCATGCCAATAAACACGGCCTAAAATACCTTGCCTCGGGTTTAACACTACTGTTGTAAATTTCAGTGTTTTTACTGTATATACAAAGGCTTCTGCTCTTACAGAAATATAGTGGTTTAATTATGAAAAACAAGACAATATTTTCCTATGATTATTCCTCAGCATGCATCAAGTTAATATATCTTTGGATTATGTTGTATTAGAATGTTTAATTTTAAAAATTGCTGTTTGATATAGAACATACACAAACTCAGGGAGATTATACAAGCTACTGAATGATAAGTGGGTCATAGAAAAAAAAAATCAAGAAGAAAATTTAAAAATTCCTAGAATCGGATGAAATGAAAACACACTGAAACCTACAGGATAAAATGAAAATCTGTAGCTACAAGTGTAAAGAAAATAAAGTAAAATAGAACACATAGCTGGCACAGTGGTACACTTAGGAGGCAGAGGCAGGCAGATCTCTGCGAGTTCTAGGCCAGGCAGGATTTCATAGTAAGACCCTGTCTCAAAACACCATACATAAGGACTAGACAGATGGCTCAGCATTTAGGAGCACTGGCTGCTCTTGCAGAGGACCCAGGTTCAATTCCCAATACCTACATGGCAGCTAACAACTGTGTATATCCCCATTTTCAGGGAATCTGACCTCCACAGGCATTGCAGGACACGGGTGTACTTATATACATGCAGGTAATACACTCATACTCATAAAATAAAAATAATAAAAAATTTAAAAATACATACATAGTGGTTAACAGTATGTACTGCTCTTGCAGAGGACCTGAGTTCAGTTCCCAGCACTCACACTGAGAGGTTCACAACATCCTATAGGGTGGATGCCCACTGCGGGTCCAAGATCAAATGTCTCCAAGGGGGCATGTGCGACACACACGCGCGCGCGCGCACACACACACACACACACACACACACACACAATTTTTAAAAGAAGAAAAAAAGAAATGGATGAATTTCTTAATACTTATGAGCTACCAAAATTAAATCAAGATGAGATAAATAATTTAAGCCTATCTATAGCAGGCAGTGAGACTGAAGCAGGAAAAAAACTGAGACAAACTCTGGCCAGGCGTGATGGTGCACACCTTTAATCCCAGCACTCAAGGAGGCAGAGACAGGTGGCTGTCTATGAGTTCAAGGCCAGTCTGGTCTACGTAGTGAGTTCCAGGACAGCTGGGACTACAGGAGACCCTGTCTCAAAGAACAAAACAAAAGAAACAAATCTCTGAACTAACAAAGTCCAGGCTCAGATGGACTTACTACTGCATTTGACCAGACCTTTAAAGAAGAACTAACACTAATGCTTCTCAAACTATTCCATAAAATAGGAAAGAAAGGAATGCTACCAAGCTCTTTTTACGAAGCTAGTATTATCCTGATTCTAAAACGGATATAGACAGAACAAAAAAGAAAATTTTATACCAATTTCCATCATGAACATAAACACAAAAATTTTTCAATAAAATATTTGCAAATTAAATTCAAGAACACATCTAAGAAGATTATTTACCACGATCAAGATGGCTTCATTTCAGAGTTGCAGAAATGGTTCAAATGGTTCAACACATATGACCTCAAGGTCAGAAATCACACGATCATCTCAATAGATGCAGAAAGCTTTGACAAAACCCCATATCCCTCAAGATAAAAGTCTTGAAGAGGGCTGGAGAGATGGCTCAGCGGTTAAGAACACTGACTGTTCTTGCAGAAGGCTCAGGTTCAAATCCCAGCACCGGCATGGCAGCTAACAACTGTCCATAACTCCAGTTCCAGGGGATCCAACAGCCTCTTCTGTCCTCCATGAGCATAGCACGACATGGGTGCACTTTCATACATG